TATAAAACCCAAAATGGTAAAAAACTTAATAAAATTTATTTTCTAGTTGAAAAGATTTTTTATTCATTTTGTATTTGAGGTCTATCAAACCTTAATATGTTATGGAGCCAATACAAAAATTAAGTTTATTTATTAGTACAGAACTAATTGCAGATATCTTCAATAATTCCTAGAATATGAATTTTTTTTTTCTTTAAAAAATAAATATAAAAAAAAATCTTTATTTATAATTATTTCTATATAAAATATGATGTATTTTCATTATTTCTTATGATTACCTCATCGGCTGCAGTTTTGCATACATTTGCTAATAAGATTATCCTGAGCACATGATAACATTGCTTTAAAATTCTGAAAACAGTTATGGATAAAAGATATTTAAAAGCTCCTGCTATAGTAATGTAAGTGGTTCCTGAAACGTTAAGGAAAGCAATAAATAACGAAAAAAGCAATTGAAATGAGAAGCATTTGTTCAAATCATCACAAGCTCGACATAGTACATCATGAAGTTTCAATATCATCTCCAAAACCTCACTCTGTCCCAATTCAAATGAGCTGAGGTTCACAAATGTTGAATTCAAAATCCTGAAACGATTTTTTAGAAGAAACACCAACTTAATAAATGGTTGTATAGTAATAAATACAGATAATGCTACATAATGGAGCTGAATTATTTGGACAATTCGAAAAATATACTTCCACTGGAGAATATAACAATAAAGAAAAAGAGAACTTCCTAATGTCATTAAAATAAAATCATAAAATAAACTTATTTCGTAGCTAGGTTTCTTGCCAAACTTTGCAAAATATGTGTCAGCCTCCCTAATATATAACAATACCGATTTAAGAGCATCCCTCCTAAATGCCAAGCATATGTAAGATGAGACAACATGGCAACAAATTATAAGATCCTCCGTAGTTGCAGAGATACTAGATACCCAATCAATAGCAAAATATGGTGGTTGTATTAAAAACCTAAAACTTTGAAAAGAGAGCAATGACATAATTAAAATAGAATATGGCAGAAGTAAATAATCTATTCGAGAGAGACCATCGTCAAACAAAAGAGGGCACATCCCTGCAACACGTGATATTATAAAAGCTTTTTTTAAACATTTTGATTTGTGCATTTTCTTTAAATTTGACTTGAAAAAGAACTTAACAGGGAACACAGTAGCCAAATGGAACCTAACAATTAAAATAAATCAATAATCTATATATCTCTATATGACAGATTTCAACAAAGAGTATATTGAAATAAGATAAGTAAAGGAGATAAACATATCAAACATGAACCTAATCTCATTCCATTTCTTTAAAATATTGATTTTTTTTAAAAGTTTATTAACAAAATATAACAATTACACAGAAAAGTAATGGAAAGAAAAAATTCATTCCTAACATTATATAGTATAATAAGAAATTCGAACTAATTGCTGTAGGAGAGAGAATGAACTACATATACTTATACTTTAAAATTGTACGTAGAGTATATAATAAAAGAGTTGGAAAGTGATCATATAGGCCCCTTCCCTAATATAGCTACATTAATCATTTAAAATAACGTAAATGAGGACATTTGTAAGAATAGGTTGAAAATTAGACATCTCTTTCTTCAAAAAGAACTGTTAATGGAATTGGAAACACATAACGATACTTTACTAGAAAGAATAAAATAAGCGACCATAAATGATTATTACAAGGGCCATATCATCAGAATTAATACTACGTAATTATCTCTTCAGTTTATATATTATGTATCTATTCAGTATATATTATGACGTACACAGGTATGTCTGTGTTTATTATTATTATTATTATATTACTTACCTTAAAGTTATTTTTATTTATTAAATATACTTCTGATGCTTATATTATGAACATAAAACTCTGGAAACAGACCAATAACATAATCAAAATAGAATATGGCAGAAGTAGATAATCTATTTGAGGGAGACCATCCTCAAAAGAAAGAGGGCACATTCCTACGATACACAATATCATAAAAGCCTTTTTGAAATATATTTTTTTAAGCATTTTGTTTAGATTGTTAAATGAATGAGAACTTGAAAGGGAACATAAATTCTAAATGGAATCCAACAATTAAAATAAATCAATAATCTATACATGTCTGTGTGACAGATTTCAACCAAGAGAATATTGAAATAAGATAAGTTAAAAGAGATAAACATATCAAACAGGAATTCAATCACATTCCATTTCTTAAAATTACTGTTGATTTTTCTGATTAAATTAGTTTATAATAAAAAAACAGTCATTTTGCCTTATAACTAAGAATGGTCGCACACTTTTTTCTAATCATAGCTGGATCATAGTGGATAGTTTTCACTCTGTCCAGTTTACTTGACATGGTATACTTATACTATGATGATAAAAGAAAAAATTTTTGAAAAAACTGAAGAGAAATTTCAACTGGTAAAAAGAATTGTTTCACCACTTAAAGTACCTACATTGAACTGAAAGTCGAGCTATCCGAATGAGTAGAGAGAAGACAGAAGAGTGTGGAAAAACGTTTTGCAACTTTCTTTCTCCCCCTCTACCCATCCACAAACTCATCTTAAGGTACTATTTCGCTGGTACTGTCCACGGCAGCGACTGCTGGCAGTTGAGCACTGTTTTAGTGAAATAGAAAGGAACCTATTTTGTTGGCACTACTTGCCAGCCTGATGTCATATCGATACTGCTCCTTTCTGAGCAGTGAAGCTGTTGGCAGCACGATGGTTATAGGTAATGTTATCATATCGGAGCATTGTTTCGTGGATAACATTCATCTTGATACGTTGCATTTCCTTTTTTTTTTTCATCAAGTCCGAAAAAATTAAATGAAATATTTTTTTAATTTAAACAAAGCTGTATGAAATAATAAAACATTTTTTGAAGTTTGAGGACAAAATTATTTATTCCACCAGAAGTATTTTACACAGAAATTCAAATACACCTAGATCCAAATGACATTAAATTATCCCAAAAATTTTAACTTCAGGTAAATGTTCAGAGGCAGATATTGAAAAATCATTTTGTATTTTTTAATTGAAGTGCTGATTTACTGATTACCTATCGATAAAACAGTAAAATATTTCCTGCTGTTTTCATTACAAATATATGATATTTATTTCTAATCAATCATGTAATAATTACTATTACTCATCACAATAATAATTAGTAATAAATTTAAAAACTGAGATAAATCCTCAGTTCTTAAAATAATGCTTTATCATCTTATCAATGCCATGAACGCTAATATTTTATATTCAAAATATTACAAGGAACAATCATTTTGTAGATGGGAATTAATATGTGGATAATTGTTGACATTTCATAGTACAGACATAACCTAACCTTGTTATTCAACTTAAACTACAAAAAAAAAAATGGATTGTATTAATTAAATAAGATTGAAACTCCACCATCAAATCTATTGCTATCCTTCCGATACAAATAAAAATCATTATATTTAAGGTTAATACTTTAATTTATAATTACATCAAACTAGGACGCTAAATTGAGAAGATTGAGAGCAGTTTCAGCAAAATTGACAAGCATTAGCGATTGGCAATATGAAATAGCAGTCCCCTGCTGTGGGCAGTACCAGTGAAATAGTATATTAAGATGGACTAAACATTTGAATTCCTCTATAAAAATAATTTTGGTTTAATAATTATTCATATTACTTTAATCCTACATAAATGATTTACTACTTTGTTAAAATTTAAAACAATTTATATTTAATTTTTTCTGACTTGATTAACAAAAAGAAAATGAAACTAAGCAAGATGACAGTTATCACCAAAATCTTTTTCGATATGATAGCATAATATAGAACCATCATACTGCCAACAACTTCATGGCTACAGGAGCGGTTGGGAGTAGCAGTATAGATATATCATGCATAGACTGCCGAACAGTGGCAACGTAATAAGCTCCTTTCTTTTTCACTGAAGTAGTCCGTAACTGCTAGCAGTCGAGGTGGGCAGTACTAGTGAAATAGTACCTTTACAAATTATCCACTCATATAATAAACATAAACAAGGAAAATAGGTTAAATAAAAAAAATAAAAAATAAAACTTCTGTTTTTTTGTTTAGTCTATTTATTGAGAAAAGCAAATGTAAACTGGGTTTTACAACTGAAAATTTTCAAAATAATTTGTATAGAAAACTGTAAGGCACATGAGATTTACAAAAGAAATATTTTAAAGTTTCAATACACAAGTAATCCAATTCAATAAGCAATACTGGTTTAAAATAATTTTACAGAAATAGTAAGTTAAGAAACAAATGTACAAGAGGAAACAAAAAAAATATTTTTTTTCTTTTTAACAATTAAAAAATATAAAGAAAACAATATCTTCTAGGTATTTCATCCGAACATTTGATCATTTATTTAAATTTAAAAAAAAAATGTAAAATAACTGATGTCAAAAATTTTAACATAAGAAATGGTAAAATCAGTTTTATAAAGAAAAGATATAAGCAGAATTTATACAAAGAAAAATAATAACTAAATCTATTATAATATTGTGAACAGAACCAGATATTTATCTATTGTTTACAAGTTTGGCTATTGTTAATATTTTACTATTGTATGCCTAAAAAATTATAGCAAATGAATTATTGCACAGTATCAGTTTTTCTTTTTTTTTTTGTTTTTTCTTTTAGAGTTAAAAAAAAAAAGAAGTAAATACCAAAGATTTTAGAAACCGATCCCTCCCCATCTGTAGCTTTCAGCTTTCAAAGAGAAATTTGGACAATAAAAAAATAAAAATAAATAAATAAAACTCATCTTCTATAAAAAAGTTCTCCCCGATTAATACACGACATTTACATAAAAGTATTGCATTCGTCATCACCTAAATATAAAAAATAATATCATTGTTTATCCATGGTAAAATAAAATAATAAATAAAAACGAGAAAAGAATAGAATTTCTTTACATTTTTTTTTTCAAATTTTTTCTTTCAAGATTTTCTTTCTTTAGGATTCGGAGAAGTACAACAACTTTGCACCACGAGTATCACCCGCCCTGCCCCCCCTTCCCTCCCCACCCTAAATATTATACAGAGTTACACCATGTGAACTTCGGAAGAAGTTCAAGAAATGTTCAAATTTGATGAGAGCTTGTAGGAACAACTCCGAAAAAAATCCAGATTTAATAAACCTGGATTTCCTAGGACGCATAAATAAAAAATTTGGAATTTATAAGAGCGAAACATGCGTCCTATGTTAAACTGGTACCGGCATCCGTACCATATAGGAATTAAATGAACTCCTCCATTTCATGTGGATCTCTAATGTACTTTTGAGTTAGACTCTCTATTGGACATCATTGGTTTTATTTTTTTTTTATTATAAATAAAATTATCTCCTTTCAGGCGGTGTATCATTTATAAAAGCCACCATCTTTTATATCTTTATGTACAAAATTGGTAAGAAAATAATCAAAAAAAGTCATCAAAAAATTTTGCGCTAAGAGGGATATTTTGTCTTATAAGCCCCTCTAACCCCCCCAACAGAATTGTATTACTTAATTATTTACATACAAGACTTCTAATGAAGTGGATGAAGAAATCAGCACTACCACACCTTAGGAGATCCAGGGATGTTACATCTATGGTGTAGTTAAAACCGATTTCTGGGCCAAACCACTCTTTAAGATCAAATTAAAATCAATTTCCTCTTTTTTTTTTTCAAACAGAACTGAGAATTGCCTCTCAACCCTTAAAAATGTTATTACGAACTATTTACAACGCTTTATATAATATATTATACAGTCTGTGTGAATATCAATAACGACCTCAATACAATAATGTATAAATATTTACATAAAAATTGTATAAAAACGTCTGAACGAAAAGATCATTCTTTGTTCCGCCCCCCCTTTCCATTTTTGTTTAAGAAAAAGAGCTTTGTAACTATACATCATTAAAACTTATATTACGAAGGTTTTATAATCTTAAAAAAATAATGATCGCTGCTTTTTAATATTATCTTTGATGATCTTCCGAAAAAAAAAAGAAAAGACTATTTACAAAAACATGAGTTGATGCTGCTGATAAATTACTTGAAGTTGCCATCTTCAATACCATCTTCCAATTTAGCAACATATAATGAAGGATCAATCACCTAAAACAAAAAAAAATTGAGAATTTTGCAATGAATGTTAAAAAAAGAAAAGAAAAAAAAAGACAATACAAAATAAAGATAATGATACGATTAGGTTACCTTCGGTATCGGTTTGATCTCTGTTCCAAGCTCCTGTTCGATGCGATGGAGTGCGAACCGATCCTCGTACGTGATAAGATTAATAGCGATACCAAGGTGTCCGAATCTTCCAGACCGACCAATTCTATGAAGGTATGTTTCGGCCATTTTAGGAAAATCAAAATTTATAACAACATTTACAGCTTGAACATCAATACCACGTGTGAATAAGTCTGAAACAGAAAAAAGAATATATAATACAAACACGTATATCTAGGATATAGTTAAAACTTTAAAAAATCATAATTTTTTTAATTCCAGTGAGCTTTTATGAAAAATAAATAATATTAGACTGTTTTATATTTTTTTAAGATCAAGATTTTTACCAATTGCAGTATTCCTATAATTTACATTATTTTATTTTACTTCTAAAAACTCTTTTAGAGAAGCTTTAGGTGTACCAGAACCATGATCGCCTCTACATACCAAATTAAATAAAAAATCATTTTAGATATACAATAAAATGAGACGTGGAAGGAAATGAGCACTGTTCCAATCATTTATATTTTTTAAATAGTAAGCATGATACGGCATTAGTTGCATAACAATTAGAAAATAAGTAACAAATATGAATTGTTAATGTTATTGATTAACGATGTGTTTTAATTGTTGAGATGAATATGGCGCAGGTCACGAAAGCTTCTCTACGTTCAAGATGTAAATTAAAATAATATAAATTACAGAGAGACTGTCATTAGTAAAGATCCTGATCTTTATAAATACATTTTTTTGCTTGGATAACAATTTTTTCTATAGGTTTAATTATAAGTTAGTTCAACTTCAATGCTTGAATTACTTAATTTTATAATAAACTTAGAGTTATTTAATTTCAATAATAAGATCTCTAAAAAATTTGTTTGTGATATCAAAATTTTATACTTTGTACTAATAATTACAGTATTTCGATTGAGTCAGGTGTCTTGTCGTTCAGTGTTTCATAGGAGCAGACTTTTGATTTTGATTGGGGTGGGAGAGTTTTTATTATGTGTAAAAATTAAACATAATTATTGTGAAACAAACAAATATAATATTGAATATTTAAAATAAATTTCTTCATATGTTTGTGTAGTTGTAAAGATTTATATTTATTTTTTGTTTTATTCATTATATATGGGAGAGGGGTAGCTCAGTGGTAGGGCACTGAGCTTCCAATGCAAAGGTCCCAGGTTCGAACCCCGGCTCATGGCAGAAAATTTATTTATCTGTTTCATTGGCTGTGGGACGATCCTGGGTCGGGAGACCCTCCTGGGGTACACCCAGCCTCTATAAAGTGGGTACCCTTAATTAAATAATTGATTAAGGGGGAAAACCTGGCGGTTGAGCATGATCCCGGTCAAATCACCTCCTTGCACAACCGTTGACCTAGAGACAGTGCTTTCCCTAAATAGTACTGAACCCCAGACCCTTTATGGGTTGTAGTGGTACAGGTTTTTTTTTTTTTTTATTATATATACTTCAAAATATCTAAAATATCTAAAATATCAAAAATATCAATTGAATATGTAATATATTTGTTTAGATTAAACACAGGAGAGAGGGAAGACAGCCTCCGTAACATTGGTACATTTCTGAAACTTTTTTTAACTAAAAATGAAAATAATGTAAAAAAGTGGAAAATATCTACGATACGTTTTTTTACAGTCCGATGCCACAGAAAATGTGATGAGAATATCAGGTGAAAATTGAGGTAATTGATTCATAAAATCCTAGGATATGTTGATATATATTATTATCTTTAAATATAAATGACACAAATGAAAACAACATTAAGATGTCAATAAAATAAAATAGTAACAATTCTACTACTAGCCCATAGCCTAATCAGCTGGTTAACTTTTCTTGTTCAATTCTAGTTAACACATTTTATTCATTCATGTAGCTTATTAATTATTGATTTTAATTTAAATTTACCTCAAATTATTGGGGGAGGGAAGAGGAGGGAATATTCTCGCCCCCTCAACATTTGTATTGAGGGGGAGGCAATCCCCCTCCCATCAAGTCTGCACCTATGCAATGTTTAACAGAAAAATAGGTCCTGTTTCATATTTGCTAACATATATATTTTTTTTTATAAGCAAGTTTCTGAAACTATTTCAATGAATATTTTTTTAAATCTTAATGTCAGTAGTTCTCTTCTATTAAAGGATTAAATGAAGTGGTAAAATTTAACAATGTCAAGTCAATTAAGATTCTAATCAAATAAAATAAGTATTTAAAATCCTAACCTATAATATAAATGGGTAAAAACTCAGTAAGAGACAGAAAATAGATGTTAGGTTATGATTGAAAAAAATCTAAAAACAAATAGCCTTGTGCCTCTAGAATGCAGGTAAAAACGAAGTAACTCAACGAGTTACCAATTCAGGTATCAGCAGGACAGAAAAAACAAGATCACTCCATGACATTTTTACACAAACACCGTCATAATTATCAGATAGTGATCTCAATTTTTTCTGCCCTGATGGTACCTGAATTGGTGAATGATTATTCCATTTTACCTGTATTCCAGATGATGTGTGGCTGGGTTTTTCCAACTATAACTTAACGCCTAATCACTTTTTTTTTTGTAATTGTTCTAGACATTTACATGAAGACTTACAATACAATACAGCCTCAAAGCAATAACTTACCGGAACAGACTAGATTACGGCAAAGTCCGGAACGGAAATCGTGGAACACTCTATTCCTATGAGCTTGAGCCATTTTGGCGTGAATATAATAACAACAGTAGCCAAGCTCTGTTATTTTCTTAGCCAGCAGCTCGACTCTTTGAGTAGAATTGCAGAAGATAATACTTTGATTTATTTGTAACTGCAAATAAAGAGTGATAATGGAAAAAAATGAGATTATGAAATCTAAATACATATTAAGACACATAAATAACTTTTGTTAATTTTCATTTACCTTAGAAAATAGAGTATTGAGGCAATGAACCTTTTGCCTTTCTTGTACGAACGCATAATATTGCGTGACGCCCTTTAATGTCAATTCTTCCATCAAGTTAATTTCATAAGGGTCCTTCAAATGCTTATCCTAAAATATATAAAAATTTTACAGTGAATAAATCAGATAATTCCTTAATCTTTTAGATGCCATTGTTCCAGAAGTGGAACATATATTGAACAATTTTTTTTGGAAAACTTAATCATTTTTTTTTTTTAAAAACATATTTTCCCCATCAAAACAAATATTTAAATAATTTAAAAAAAAAAACATTTATGATAACAATACTTTTGACGATCTTCTTCTTCCCAAGAAAAGCCTTTTTCTTCGGAAGAGCACGCTTCTCCCAACACAAAATATCAATGCAAAGAACACCAGAAACGCATTCATAATGATTGTTTCCCCCAATTTCACTGATTGTAAATCGTATATTAGCATAACAATTTTTTTTTTACTCCATATTCTAACATACGCATTTTCTCTACAAACAATCATAATGTATTACTATAATATAATAATAATTTTTTTTATCAATATTAATAAAAACAATACTATTATTGTATTGAATATTCCAATAAAACTATCACGAAAAAAATTCTTTGTTTTTCTTTGTATAACCAGAACCTGCTATATTGTTCCACTTCTGGAACAAGTTGGAAAAGCACAGAGGAAATTTTTTTTTAGGAACTATCTAAACTGAATCATATTGAGACTAATATTACAGAAAAAAAGTTTCTGCTAGAATTAGGAAGCGGCGTGTAAAAATTTAAAGTGAGCAAAGCTCCTGGTAAGGCCATAACCTCAACTAAAAGCACTCCTTGGGGGTTTGTATGCCTTTTTAGAGCGAGCGGGATTTGAAAGCAGTGATATAATTAAATCAAACTAACACATCAATTATAACTGGAAAGGACCTGTAGAGTAGGAAGTTGGGGGAAGTCGTAAACAGCTATCTAAATAAATAGAACATATACTGTGAACACATTAATCTTTGACTTTTCTCGGAAACCTATTATATATAACTTATTTGTTGTATTATTTTAAAAAAGGTTAAGTGCTGCAGAAGCTCATAGAAAAATTTACAGTATTTATGGAGATGATGCCTTAACCGAATGCATCTGTCATAATTGGTTTGCCAAATTTCATTCAAGAAATTTTATATCAATGATGCTCAACGGTCTGGTCGACCACATGAAATTGAAACGAGAAACGTGAAGGTCATTGTTGATCAAAATCCCACCTAATCAGTGCGAGAGATTGCTATTGTCCTAAATGTGTTGCACACAAGCATAGAAAACCATTTTCATAAGCTCGGCAATGTTTCAAGCTTAATTTTTGGGTCAATCACTTGATTTCTTTTTTTTCAAAAATCACAAAATGTTATAACTTCAATACGACTTTAGCTATCTACAAGAAATTTAGGGTCACATAAACTACACAAAATGACATCAACAGGACCTTCGTAAACAAGCTACAAAATGGAGACAAAAAATAAAAACTTATAAGGAGTTTTTGTTTATGTATTCCTTATGTAAGCATTAAATAAAAAAAATCTATTCATAACCCTTTGAAGAGCAATAATTCAGCTATCCAACGGATATAGTAACATTGACTTTGGAGAACATCCTAAAGAAGAGTTATGAATGATCGGAAGGGTGTTGTATTCCAACAAGACTTCACTCGCAATAAATTATTGAGCATTAGATGGGACTTTTTCCACACCTTCCCTATTCACCAGACCTAGCTCCAAGTGACTACCGCCTATTCCGGTCTCTGCAGAACTCCATGAATGGAAAGAAATTCCAAAAGGAAGAGAACATAAAAAACCACTTGGATCAGTTTTTAAATAATAAACTCAAGACATTCTATGAACATTGCATTATGCAGTTAGAGGAAAAAGTCGTATTAAATAATAGTCAATATATTGTAAATTGAAATAAATTTTATGCCTATGATATATTGAGTTCCATTTCACCCTGAAAAACAGAAAGGACTTATTTGCCAACCCAATATAAATCAAATTTAATGTGGGTAAAGCCGTGGAGTACATTTAGTCTAACTCTTAACGACAGCTATCATCATTGTTACTCACCATGAACTGCTTGACTGTGAGAGGAAACGTTGCAGAATATAACAATATTTGACGATCTTTTGGTAAACGAGAGATCACATGGTCCAGCATTCCTTTAAAGTCCTGAGACAGGAGCTTATCGGCCTCATCCAGGACGAGTATTCGACAGTGGTCCATATGTGCGACCTTCTTATCCATTAAATCAAGGATACGGCCAGGTGTAGCAATAATAACTTGCACTGAAAACAATAAAATAAGTAAGATATTAAAGAGATGAATGCGTGAAACCTAATAAAATTATATTGAATACTTAATAGTTGACCGTTGCATTATAAAGGGAGGAGATGGTCCGGGGTTGCTGTTATAAATAGGCTAAATAGTGGTAAAACTATTTAGCCTATTTATGACCGCAACCCCGGACCATCTCCTCCCTTTATAAAATTATAGTATGTGCAATTAGAAATATAGGGCTAAATTTATTAATAATTCGATGAGTAAAGCTCTTTTAATGTCCGAAAAAAAAAAATCTTAAAATCTAGCAATGAAAAAGATATGATAAACTCTTTCTTCTTAAAAGCAGAAAAGATAATAATCAAGTAGTTTTATTTTAGTTACCGTAGTTAGACATAGGTTTTTAAACTAAATTTTCGAACTGACTGCACTGCTAATACTTATTACCTTTCATAAATCGTATATTTTATATCTTCAGCATAAATGACATGTTTTTGATGTACTTATTAATAAGATAATTTACTAGTAAACATACATTACTAAGTATTAATAAAATTTTACTATAATTATGAAACTGGAGTGATACTAGATACTATCATTTATTTTATAATATGCTATTATTTAAGATAATAGTTTTTTTTTTACTTTTATGTTAATATAATTTATTCCAATAATAGACAAAGAACAATAATTGTAATTAAGAAAACTTGTCACACTCCAATAATATTAACAAAAATATTTCATTAAAAAAATACCTTTCTGGAAAATCCTCATGATATCGTCTCTAAGATTTGTCCCTCCGGTAGTCACCATTACTTTAATATTCATATGCTTAGCTAGTTCGATACAAATCTGTGATGTTTGCAAAGCAAGTTCTCTAGTAGGAACGATTACTAGAGCTGAAATAAGAACAGAAAAATATGATGTAATTTCAAACTTCATAAAGTTTTCAAGTTCAAGAATATGCTTATTATGAGATTTTCATCGAGCTATTAACAAATTTACTGTCATCCATAATTGTGGAAAACTAAGATGAAATCCGAAGTTAATAATTTTCTAATTTTTTTAATAATTTAGGATTGCCTCACTTTGGGCAATAAGCTTTGTTCAAATAACATAAAATTAAGCCATTAGACATTTAAAATCTGCGGTTAAGAGGGCAGTTAGGGGAAATAGTCAATGAGAAAAACAGAAATAAAAAAATATTTTATTTATATTTGTGTTTTTCTCACTGACTGCATTTCGCAACTAACTTCACAACCATATTATCTACAATCAAATATTTCTCCACCATTAAATATGTAAAAGTGAAACAGAAAATTAAATAGTAAAAGTTCAAATAGTCTATAGGTAATAACAAGTCAACAGGTAAGCAGCGAAGGGTTATTCATTACAAATTCCTGCTAACTGTTAAGCACGATAACATTAAGCTATCATTGCAAGTTCTGTGAATACCTCAATACTAGCAGTAACGCAAATATTTTAATAAATGAAGAGGTTGTTAAGGTTTAAACTGGAAAATATTATTTATCTTTAATGTTAAAGAGATAAGCTATTAGTAAAAATTAAATGGACTAACGTTTCCATAATCCAACAGATCAGTTTTGCAGAATACAAAAGCAACTGATTATATAAAAACCTGATGCGCGCATCACACCACTTTCACTTGCCACCCCATTCTTAGCAGAAAATAAGTACTTTCAGGTAATGGGAAGTTAAAAGTATAAGTAAAAATTATAGAAACTATACTTATTTAAATTTCATTGTGGATATTTTTATTTGTTTAAATAACCTTATATAGACAAATTTTAATTTTTATATCTGTATTATATATGTATTATATACAATTAATTATTAAATAATACCAATGATAGCATATATGAAAACCTCATATGTAAATATACATAATATTGTCGGAGTCCGTATTATATTAAGCTTATGTTATATATGGAAGAGTTGTAATCTGTCATTTAAACTATTAACCGTTACGATCTCTAATTTCTCATTTAGTTAATTATCAAAGATTAATGTGAAATGGTTAATTATTATAAAATATAAAAAATTAAAGGTATTTTAGAGGAAGCTAATATTGAAAATTAGCCATTTAAGCACTGCTAGAAAACATTAATGAGAATAAAACCTATATTACATTAAAAAGTGCTTAATAATACACTGATAATATATCAGCAGTATAATGCATCAGCAATCAAAATCGTTGAAGCGTTTTTGTGAAAATCGTAAAAATGTGTTAAATCGATTATATAAAGTACCACTTCCGGTTTGCCGATTTTGATGAAAATGTAGCTGTAATATACAAGGATTATGAAAACCTCAAATATGCTATATCAGTTTCATATGACTTTTCGTTTTTTAGATAGGCTGTTCACATAAACAGACCATTTTGCAGGACTTGGTTATTTGGGCTCAGGGAACCTCAAAACGTTTATTTCCGTTGAAAACTCTTTTTTCAAAGAAATTTTTTTTTTTGAAAGATTAAAAAATTTTCACGATCGCAAGACTTACCCTTACTATATATTAAATATTAATATATAGGTTAAAATACGTAGGTAAATGAATCTTGCACTATTAACAGATCAATATCATCATCACCGGACAAAAAGTTAAAGTTAAAATCCTGATAAAACTTCATAACATTTTTTGAAGTCACAATTTAATTAAACAAGAATGCTATATAATAGAATAAGTTTTAAGACAATTATTAGAGCAGTTTTGGTGCTGAAATCTACAGAACACCTTTATCAACTATTGCACACAGAATGCCCAATTTGGTACAGGCCTTAGAGATATTAAAACCCTAAAGAAAAAAAGTTTACTTTAGAGTATTAACATTCGAAGAATAAAATTTATTTTAACAGCTGTGAGCAGTGTTCTCGTCAATTCCCAATCGAAATTAACAACATAGTAAAACAGTGACGCGAGAGCTGGATGTTATAATCCTGATCAAATAATAACCAATAAGTTTTCACAAACAGTAAAAAGTATTTTTTATTTCATTTTTAAAGAGTGAAAAAATTGGATGTTTATGGTTTCCATTGATTTTTAGAGAACTTAATTAAATTTTTTAATCTTGTTGTGAAGTCCTGCCTCTTTTAGAAACCTGGTAACTTTGTTCAGGTAACTGCGGTCTTCACTAAGTTAGCCTGGCAAGAGATCGAGGAATGTCTCATTTGGCCATTTTTCTGCTGTACTTAACTTAAGACAGTCCTCGATTGTGTACCTCACAGTTAGCGATTGCTGTTTGACAGTCTTGACATTTTGGAGGGGTCTCTTTTGTTATCAGATATCCATGATGGGTTATGCAGCAATATTCGTAGACAAGTTATAACAACTTAGTCTCTTCTTGACAGTCTGGAGCATGTCCACTTCTTAACAGTAGGTTTTACCAATCCAAGTTTATTCAGTATCTGTAGCTTCCATCGATTATGATTTTGTCACTTACTCGGTATAAAAACTTTCACTATTTAAAACAACTTTCAACTTTATCTAACAAGCATGTTAGTTGCAGTAGCAGCTGTATAGGCCATATCGTTCTCCTTTATGCCAATAAGGCTTGATACCCATATCACAACTACCATTCTGCTCCAAGTTAGAGAAATGTGGAGTAGAAAGTATTAAAATTAATAAATATCATTCATAATAGTTTTTATTGTTCAATTACCTTGAATTTGGTCTAAACTTGGGTCAACTTGTTCTAAAACAGGAATGGAATAAGCGCCAGTTTTCCCTGTTCCGTTTTTGGCTCTCGCTAGGATATTTCTTCCGGAAAGGGCTATAGGTATGCTTGCTTCCTGAATCGGACTGGGCTTTTCCCAACCTTTCTCGAATATTCCCATGAGTAATTCCCTTTTCAGACAAAACTCTTCAAATTCATTGCCTTTTGTATCAGTGACATCCTGAAATTAAAATAAACAGTTAAAACTTTTATGTGGTGTTGTAAAATGATTAAATTGGCAGGAGTAAATATAATACTAACACTTGTTTTTTTCCTTCTGTCTGTTGGTGGAATCTTTAGTTTAGCCTTCCAACTCTCCTCAGGTTCCCTGCAAATTACAATCATTACTTTTGAACACATATATAATTTATAATTATTAATAACAAATGAGATAAATTCTCAGCATGTAAGTTATTCTGGTTAAATACTAAAGTTGATACATACTTGTTAATCTTTTAGGCATATTACATATTTAAAAAAATATATATAAATAAAAAAGAATGACATTAATGTTACTTACAATTTCTTTATAGGTTTATTTGGGATCATTGGTGATGCTGCAAGAGGTTTTGTAGCAAACTGCGACTCGGTCATCATATTTATAACTTATAATAAATAACAAAGTAAAAGACAAATTAAATTTGCCTAGGAAAAAATTCAGTCTATTCACTATATACAATATGAAATGTCTACTTCAATAAAACAATTTTTCTAATGAATAAATTGTTCATTATCACACTTTCACAAACACTTTATGATTTCTTCTTCTTCTAAACAACACCTGAAAAAATATATAAAAAATCAATAAATAAATGAGATAAAATAAAATTGTTACTAACATAGGTTGGATATTTATAAGTGAAGAAGCACATATAACTTTTACTAACAGTATGGTTATGGTCGCAAAGGCTATTGGCATGTTTTAACAGTGTAAAGGATGGTATACAATAGATCTCTATGTGGCTGCAATGCATTCATGTCGGAAATAGGAAAAAAGGGGTTGTAACAGAACTTCCTCTTGCAATGGAAAATTCAAGATATTATATTAAGAAATAAACCTCTATAAAATTTCTAGTTTCTTTAAGACATAATTTTGATCGCTTGAAAATGTTTATAAAAATAAACTAGAGAGCAGTGGAATGAATGGAAGAGAGCAAACGGAAGCCAGTATCCAGAACTATTACGTGTAAAGAAATATCAAATTAATATTTATTTTATTTAAACTGCTTATTTAATAATACTAAATAGCTATCTTAACTTAATGACTTATACTTTTTTTCCATAATCTATGCAACACATTAATTTAAGGGGAGAGGAAGATACATCCAGTTAAAAATGCATACATAATAAACATGACATTTACAAAAATTATGCATCCCTGGCAGGCACCTCAATTTCAAACACATTTATATAATAAAAAACAGAGTATTTGTGAAAAAAATTGTTACAAGTATTGATTGGATGACCATAACGGAAAATTCAAGAAAACAAAATTTCTTAGAAATAGCATGGACTTTAACTACAAATTATCCAGAGTTTGAAAAGGCTTATACTAACCAAAAATAGACCTAAGAAATATATTAATGTTGAAAGCAAGGTAATGTGTTTACAGGTTAAGAAACCTGGTAAGAAGTTATTATAAGAAACTGATATCAGAATTCTTTTAAGTTGAACAAGCTGAAATAAAGCATGCTAAAAAAACAAAAAAAAAAAAAAAACACTAAGGAACAAGATTAATAGAATGAGCCCCCAACTTGAATAATACTGAACAAGAAATCCAAGGTAGACGTTTAAATTATATTCTTTACTTAGTTTCTAATAGTTGGTTTATAGTGTGTAAATGATCAATTGTAGACATGTCCTTCCTAAAGCCTGCTTCGTCCAGAGGTAATTTTTTGTTAATAGTTATATAAATTTTGATTAAAATAGTTTGGATGATTTTTGTAAACACTTTCCCTATTGTAGCTTCCAATGATATTGATCTGTAGTTTGTTAATTTAGTTCAGTAAAAAATTAAAAATGACACCTAAATTAAGTTTTTATGAGCCCGATATTATAAGAAGCATTTGGTGGTATCATATTGCATTCATCCTGAAATTTACATGTAGCTTATACTTTTTAACGCAAAGAGGCCATCCATGGTAAATTGTGACCTAATTTAAGAAAAAAATATTTTATATTTTATCAAGACTAGAGTTTTTATATTAATTCAACTTAATTAATATATTATATCAAGTAGCCCTTATAAGAAAAGACACAGTTCTTAGATTAATAGAACCACATAAATAAAACAGGTAACATGAGTAACTTACAATTATAATACAGTTTTAGAAAGTAATATTACTAAAAACAATAAATTTGTTCTAGTAAGAACAACTTAAATCTGATATCACATTTATGTTATATAAAAAAAAACTTATGACAGCAACAAAAACTAATGAAATATTTCAGAGGTTTAATTTGATGAATTTTAAATTAGATAATTTAACCTTACTGAATGTCCTCTAAACTACCCTTGAATTTATTGGTTTTACCATTTGTTTATTTATTTTAATATTGATTCAAACTATTAAAACTTGTAACAAATATATCTGAAAGATATATTACATATATATATGAAAGAATAAACTAATCAATTTATGTAAGCAATGATCAAAACTAGAAAGTAAAGATTTAAAATATATAAAAGACATAACAAACAAAAGTAAATAGATGAAAGCTCAATCAAAATAAATTTAGCGAATAGTAATGATATCTAATTAGTAGTTTGATCTTAATAAATTTTAACTTTTTTGGACAAAAAAATTAGAAAATAAATATTTCATAATGAAAATAAGAGAATAAATACATTTATAAAGAGAATTAGAAAAAAAAACTCACAGGTTTACTTATACATTTAACAATGCTGATATTAAAAAACTAAAAATTCATATAAAACACAATATACAATGAGGTCATGTTAATGTGTGTTTAACAGTAACCTACAATGCTATCTGAGGGGGAAGTTTACTGTCCTGTACCCAAGCACAAAATCAATATCAAAACAAATCAAAATAAACCACATTAAAAATTGTTCTACTTATAATAAAACAGATCATAAGCTGTACTCAATAGCTTAGAGGAATTAAAGTTCAATCTGAAAAACTCAACTAAATCCTCAAATCAAATCAAAATGGAGGAAGAGAACTTGACATAATGCAGGAATCAACAAGACTTTTTCTGTCCTCGACAAGAAAGCTATAATTGAACTGGACAGAACTATTGCCACTATAAAAACACCATGAGAAAAAACATATTAAAATAAATAAATAGAATAGCATCACAGAAACTTATCACTAGTAGTAAGTAGAAACTTTCACATATCTAGAAAATAAAGCAATGCACAAGTGAAAAACTTAAACAGTATAAAGACTACAGAAAATCCTTTTACCTTGAAATTAGAACAATAGAATGAAACAAACTAATGAAAAATAGTTAAAGATTTGGCACCAGTATTAAAAACAATTATTATAATTTCTGATTTTTAGCACCATAGGGCATTTTAACACTCACTTCAATTATGAATCGAAATGCTTAATAGCGGACAAGTATAACACCATTCCTCTCAATTAACATTGAAAAATTGGGGCAATTGAAAGAAACGAACATGGCGTTTCACAATACAAAAGTAAAAATATATAAACCTAAAATTCATGGGCATAATATAGAAATAATCACTAAATCAAATAAGGTATGCAACTCACGTTCATATAATGGCTTAACTAAGATTCAATCCAAGATATTTTTAAACAAAAATAACAGTTTTTGAACAGAGTAAATACCTGAAGCTTTAAACTGTCTACACGTTCTCAAATCTTCTATCAGCGCTGGCTACGGCACTGAGCAACGGCAGTCAAGTGAAACTACAAAAGTGTTGAAAATTGCTTTCCTTGAAATAAATGAAAAAATATTTTTAATAATTAAATCGTTATATAGTTCTAAAAATGAATGAGAATTTTTTTAAAAATTGTTTTATGATTACTTTTTTTGTCAAGAATAGTGATATTGTAGTCCGAAAACACAAACCGAAAACATACTATTCCCGCTATTTTTTTCAAAAATGAAAATTTGAACTTTAATTAATATTTTTGTTTTTTACTTAACTAGACTGTCTTATACTGACTAAAGATACTTAAATTCCACAAAATAGTTAGTTTATGTTTTAGAATTACCCTAGGAAACCAATATAAAATTGCATTCCATTATGCTATCTTCACATTTTTTATAAATGTTTATTTACTGTGGAAAATGTCTTGCTTAAACTTTATTAAATATCTTTTAATTTCTGTTAGATTACGATTATAATAATATTAAAAACCTGCAGTAGTATATATTTAGTACATAAAATGGATAACAATACTATTCTTTAAATGAGAAACATAGTTAATCCCTGATTATCGAAAACAGATTCGTTTTGATAAATAAATACTTCTATTCATTAAACTTTATTAAACCGAGATTCTCAGTCATTTCATATCTTAAATTATTTTTTAATCTGCTCAATATTTTTCTGTGATTTACGATTCTAAATAAAGGACATAATATCATGATTTTGAAATATTGATTATTTAAAAAATGGTGTTTTATTGTGTCTAGAGTAATAAAACTACTCTTATAAACCTCTTGTTTAAGTAGATATAAAATCGTATAGTAAGTAAGAAAGTGCCAATTAATGAAATAAAATAATTGTGGCAAAAATAGATTATGACGTCCTGCAATGTACATACATTATTACAAATATTACTTATTATTATATTGTAAAATTTAAAAAAAATCCCGTTGAAAAGTTCCTAATACTCACACAATTAAAATATATAAACATTCTCTTTATTTTTAAAATAAATTTACTATCACTTCTAAACAACAAACGCAAATGATTATCGACGTTTTTAAAGGCATAGTAATGCATGATTTATTAATTTCCTATGTCATACTACTTTTATGTTTTTTAAAAAAAAATATTTATGTTTGTTTATTGTTACCATCGTGTTTATTTATTTAGAATTACTATTATTTTGTATTTGTTATAAAGTTGTCAAAACGTTTGATAGAACACCTTAAGCCTAGATGTCATAATCGTTTTATGAATATTTAATAATTCAGAAAAAAACAATACTTGAAATTCTAAAGTATAACAATTCCAATAAAACCATAACCGCACTATGAACTTTCTGTTAATATCTGTGAATTAACCATAAGATTTGGGCCAAAATTGTACAGATGCTTGAAGTTGGATGCTCGAAAACAACAGAAAATTAAGAAAAGAAACCAAATAAATTAAAATCCTTCTAGAAATAAACAACAACACCAACACCTTCTAGAAATAATTTTTTTTTTATTTTTCCCTACGTTTATCAATATCATACTTCGTTATACGTATTTAAGAATTAATACGTCTCCCTTTCTTTATCTTCTATCCATTATCCTTTCAGTTTGAGGATGCTTTTAGCGATCGGTGCTATGCGTTTCTGCATCAGGGGCTAGGTTCTTCATTTCTCCTAAAGAACTTCTCTTTTGTCTCTTCTTTTTTTTCTTGTTCCTTCCTACCTCATCTTTCAGGCTATACGGGATTTTCCCGGGCCTGAAGTGTGCGGGCGAGGAATTTAAAATCCCTTCCGGCACCCAGACGCGAACTCGTACTTTTTTAAAATTTCATATAACTTTGGTTAACTGGTTGCCAGGCAACCCACGGTGCTGTGCACACGCGTTAGCCAATTCAGCTACCCCGCCCCTTCTCTTTGCCTCTTTCTATTCGTTCCAGAATGACATCTTGGTAAGAGTTACCATCGGCCCTAAGTCGATGGCGAAGGAACCTTCCCTCTCTTCTTCCAAAATACTTTATTGTTCTCTTTTTCTTAAAAACAGTGCAAGCGGAAGTATAATTTTAAAAATCGTATTGCATATACAACTCCACTTTTCTTTTTTTCATTCATTAACCCTCTACCCACCATTTCTGGCATATAGGAGGAGAGGGAGAGAGTTCTAGAGGTACAACCAAACCTATTCTGACTAAAGTGGAAAAGTCGCGCATCGTTCCGTGGGTCCGCCACACAAAAGTCAACAACTCCCAGGCCGGTTTCGAACCGGCGTCGCTATGCACGAGGATGCTAAAACCAACAACGCTCAACACACTCGGCCATCACTACCTCAATACAACTACACTTCCTACATTCTGGCTGTATGGTGTACGGTGGACTCTCGGGAGATTCCGAGGCCAAACTTAAACGCCTAATGAATTCCGCATTACGATTTGTTTTCGGAATCTCAAGGGATACGCATATTACCCAGTATTACACTGAGTTGAGGTGGCTCTAACCATCCTATCGCCGTCAGTACTTCCTAGCCACCTTTCTGTACCAAATCATTAGAACTCATCGATCCTCCTATATTTTTCTCAGCTTACAATTCAAATACTCCATCCAATCCCGTCCCACTAGATCTCGTACTTCCGACCTCTATCCTCCTCCTCACCGAACTGCTGCGTTTGACAAATCCTTTGCAATACAAGCCGCCTCCCTCTGGAATTCCATCCCTGCTGATATTCGACACGCTTAATCAGTTTCCTCTTTCAAACCTCTTCTCTTTAAACGCCTACTCCTTTTTCAATCCGACTGATTGCAGAATATATTTAAGAGAAATATCTAAGCACCCCCCCAGAGACTACCTCAATTTATTAAGGTTATTTTATTTTCTCATATATATATATATATATATATATATATATATATATATATATATATATATATATATATATTATATATATATATATATATATATGTACAATTTTCTTGTTCTTTTCTTTCTCTAATTCAGTGTTTTTATTTTTAGTCAACTCTTATTGTAAATATATAATCTAATTGTAACCACACAGACATACAATCTGTATTTATAATTTGTTCTAAAGGGACAACAGTCCCAGAAAAATACAATATTTTTTCATTTCATTCTGTTCCATTTTTTCCCGTTTTCTTTTGGATTGAAAGTTTTCATTGTGAAAATTCATAATTCCGACGACATATGTCCTCAAAAGGTTAAAACCTCGTAAGTTACGCCATGAAACGCCCTTCTATACATCCCTGGTCTTCTTCCTGTGATTGTCCATGCGGCAGACGTGTCTATACGACTTCATTTCTCGAGTTTCCGTCATCTTGCATACATCAGTTATTATCTAATTTTGTCATTTTGGATACAGTCTCGTCGTGCTTTCCTTTCAAATCTCCTAAGAAACTTCATTTCAGCCTTTCATTCAGAATTTAGTCATCCGCTCCGAGAGTTATTGTTATGAAAGCAAACTTCACGTTCTGTCCCAATTATCTTTTTCCGACAACAAAATTACAGATCTGGTGGTAAAAGAAATCAATGTAGGAGATACACATTCGTTTCAGCTCGTCGTTTCTCCTCTCTTATCTTCCGAATCGCTGATCATCACTTCTAAACAATAGTCGGATCATATAAGGAATTGGCTACCTTCGCAAAGTGTAAGAGAAGTTTCAACGAGATGGTATCCAGAACGCCACCTTAAAGGCCAAGACCATCAAAGAGTAACAAAAGATAAAGCGATTCGTTCGCATTCTTAAGTTTTTTTTTCTTGTCATGACTCTCCCGCCACAAGACCTCTTGCAACCCAATAAAGTTTTGCCAATTTTTATCATCAGAAGAGAAGTTCAGTCTTATTTCTTAAAGATTAGAACATTCCTACGAAATTACTTGATGTCATGATTGAGGGTGTGCTGTATAATTAGCAGTGAGGGCTATCTCTCACTTTAATCCTGTGGAATTGAGTATTTAAATATTCGTAGCCATTTATGGATCGGAAATCAGCAACGGACCTCATACAGGAGAATATCAGGTGGAACAGGATGCTTTGGATCAAGAATTGCCCACAGCCCACTTTTAGTAAAATTGTAGCATGAACTTCTTCAGGTGGGTTTTATTATTTGAAAAAGTACAATTTTCAATCTTATATAAGTTTTTTTTATTAGGAGTACCCTGAAGAGGGTTGTATGGCGCAAGTTGCACCATCAAAAGTTTTTGGAGGGACATATTTTTACAAGGTTGTAGATTTTTAAGGGGGTGCCTGTATATACAGACTTGATTTTTTTGAGATAATCATACTTTTGTGAGCTTTCAATGAAAGAGAATTTTCAAACCTAGAAACAGAAGAAAACTAACTACGATTTTTTATTATCTTGCTTTAATTTGCATCAATTTTAAGAATAGCTGAGCGATCAATTGTTTTGCGAAGAGGCAGAGAGTGCCATGGAGTATAGGCTTCTGTTCTTTACCACTTGAGTTCTACAGCTCAAATTTACATGATTTTTTTTTCAATGTAAGTCTTTCTGTCCGCACACAAATTTCAGAAAAAGAGTGCTGGAAGAAAATAGAACCACTGTAGGCAGACTTGATATAAGCCCAACTCAGAAATTAAATGGATTTCCCACAGCATAGAATGAATTCCCTGTTAGGTTAATTTAAGCACATAACCAGTGGTTTATTGCTCATTCAAGGCATCATCATGCTCCCCCCCCCCCAACTTTGTATGTATGCTCAGGTGTATATGTGCCTTAAAAACTTGATCAGAAATTTTTAATTGCACTAATACATTTTTATTTACTTTCTGCATAAATACAAAACTTCTCTAGCTTTGGAAGTGAAGTAGCTAGCTAGAATTTCTTATTCATACAAAAAAAAAATAAAAAATAAAAAATAATACCAATGGTCAGAATTCACTCATCAAGATGGAATATTAAGAGATACAAATCATAAATGATAAAAGTAAAATAAGTAGGATGATGTAATTGCTACAAGTTCATGTCCTGAAATGTTCAGAGGAAGTGAGATAAACATAGACTGATAATAATGGAAAATAAAGAAAAGGAAAGAAGTTAAAAACAATAAGATTCATGTATAAAATATACTGAAATCTATCTTAACCTATAAATGAATTGAAAAATTAAGTTAAATAGATTAAGAGGATAAGATATGAGTAATATTATTAAATTTACTTGTATCTTATTTAAGGTGACCAGATTTTAACATTAGGTAAAGTGGAACAACATTGACCAGGGAGAGGGGTTGTCCAAATTTGTTATAATAATTAATTTTAAATAATGATACCAGATTATCATTACATAAAAATAATTGCTAGTTTTAATCAGATGAGAGTAGAGAATTTAGTTCTAAAGGCGTATTTCTGAGTGAATAATTTTATGATGTATTTGACGTCTAATTTATGACTTCAATGTTTTGTGCCAGTAGTTTGTACATAATCAAGCAGCTCTTTTTCAAAATGTTATAAATCTTATTGAAGGTGACGAAATTTTGATAATCAAAGTAGCAAATGAAGTTAATTTGCTGATGCCAAAGATTTAATCTTTTACTAACCAATATATATTTTTAATAACGATGCCTTATTTTATTTAAAACATGTTCAGGTTGTTTTTAAGTCCAAACAATGCTAGTTGAATTCTAACAACTGATTAACAATGCGAACTTTGATAACCAGTTCTCAACAATTATTCAGTATTATTAAAGTTTAACATTATAAAATTAACAAAAATGATATATAACTCATATTGTAGCTCGAAATAGCTACATGGCCGCCGAAAACCATATATTCTCTTCTCGGTTCCCTAGTTGGGGTGCATTCTTTTCAAAAATCGAGACTTTTTTTGAAACGCCACAGGACAAATTGTAAACAATCTGGACTGTCCTACCAAAAGTGAGACATCTGGTCACCTTAATCGTATTCTCTTAATTTATATAACTTCATTTTTTCAATTCATTCCTGTTTGTATGATATGTTTCGATAGATTTCAGTATATCTTAATATTTTCTTTATACAACTTTATTTTATTTTCCTTTGTTTTTCATTATTATTCTTAATCTCAGTTCCTCAGAACATATTATGACATCAACTTATAGTAACTACGTCATCCATTTAACTTTTATCACCAACAATTTGTATCTCTTAGTATTCCATTTTGTTTCTTTGTTAATTGCATTAAGTTACCATTATTTTATTGTTTACTTCATTATTCTGTCTATATATTTTTACTTTTGCTGGTTACTTTTTTCTCAATATTTATATAATCATATCTTTGCTTAGTCCTAAGCAACCTGAAACTTCGGCTCAAAGGACAAAAATAAATATATTTTTACTTTGTTTTTTTCATTGACTGAACATCCCAACCCTTTCCAAACATCTTCAACAGTCAACAATTATTCACAACCATAATTAATTAAAGATTATTGACAATAACCAAAATCTTACCTTCAAAATTTCGATTATTTCAAATACTCAATCTAATTTTATAGCTAAAATTTAAGTGTCAATAAAGCGGTGGATGAGAAACATAAGTTATTCCATTCTGTCGTAAACTTGAACAAAGACATGGCACCGAATAATTTCTAGAAATAATTATTAAATAAAAACTTTTATCCAATTGGTTTCTTTATTTTTTTTTTTAAATCTCAATTTATTGAGATTTACAACATTTACAATATATGCATAAAATACGTAAAGGATACAACACTTGAAGGTATTCTTAATACAATAAATATAAAACAAGAACATATTGCAATCAATACTTAAAAGAAGGAATGTACAACATCGATTTATGGTTTTGGAAAGACTGGGCAAAAGTTTTTAACATAATATAATTTAATAAGATTGAGAATATTGCATTTCATATATACAATATAATACTGTATATTAATATACAAGTATACTTTTATCAATAAATAAATTATAAATGAAAAGTCTTTGGTTCGGTTTTTAACACCATTATTCGATTTGTTTTTATATAACCAGGGTCCAGTCAATGCCTGATAACAAATAATTAAATAAAAATTGTTCAAAATTTCAACAATACTACACATTATTCAAAAAAACAATAACAGAAACTAACATATAAGAAGCTACTGACTGGACGGCAAAAATTAATTTAAAAAAAAATTAAACATTTATTTTTTCTAAAAATTTAATAATGCTGTCAATTATAGACATTGATAATGAAGTTAATCTTCTTTTTTTGCTTCTATACTTTTAATCGGTGATTCATCAGGTTTGATAGCAACCTGGTTCTCCATTTCTCCGGAGAAACCAAATTCATTGATTCGCTTAGGATCTGTCTTATAAATCCATCTCTGGTACAAGAATATAAAAAAGACGATATCTGAAAAAAAAAAAAATGAAGAAACATGATTTAATCAGCCTCACCAATTCTACACTTCCTAATTTCCTAAAAATTTAATTCCTAATTAAAGGCATATGATAAAGAGATGAAATAAAATAAGTACTACATTCTTATCATGTGAGATTTTGTCAAAGGAGGCAAAAGGTCAGGGATGTAGGAATGACGGATAGAGGAATTTTAGGTTTTCAAACAATCTTAAGGTGTGTTTAGAGATTTCACAAACTATGGGAAACACAATCGTCCAACTTAACTTATAGCGATATTATTCCTAAACCAAACTATTTATATTATTCCTCTTAATAACAATAGCAGATGGAAAAACATTTATATATTTGTTTGTTTCATAGTTTGTGAAATGTCTAAACACACCTGAAATGAAATAAAAAAAATTACTTGAGAAGGAGTTAGTCGAGGGTGCGGTCAAATAAATAAAAAAAAAAATTAAAATATATTAATTATTTTAATTTTTGCCGATGTTTCGACACACTTTGCAGGTCGTCTTCAGGGCATTAATTGTAAATTAAAAAAGATTGGTGATTTTTTTATTTACAATTAAAGCCCTGAAGACGACCTGCAAAGTGGGTCGAAACGTCGGCAAAAATTAAAATAATTAATATATTTTAATTTTTTTTTTTATTTATTTGACCGCACCCTCGACTAACTCTTTCTCATATTATATCAACGGTCAACCATCTCTACATCATTAAAAAAATTACTGCTTTTAATATTTATCAATTTTTTAAAAATTACTTTTTACTCTTACTATGTTCATATTTATTATATTTCTGTATCTGATTTAATTTTAGCCTAGAAGATGGAGATTTGGATTGAAATGTTGACTTTTATAATAAAATATAATAATAATAATCTTTTATTTATTCTGGGACGAATCCCTTTAGAATAATTAACAAGGACATAACTGTGGGCTTTTGAGCTTCAGATATATATAAATGTATTTACAAGGTAACTAATAGATATAATAGAAAAAAAAAAATGTTATCTTCTAGATTAAATTGATTAATAAAAAAAAAATATATAAATAAATAAATGAAAGAACATTGAAAATAAACTAATAATATATATATATATATATATATATATATATATATATATATATATACATATTAACAATTTTAGAGGGACTGGATGGAAAGAAAGTGATTGAATAGGCGGGATTTAAAAGTAGGAAAAGTATTACATCGGCAGATGTCAGGAGGGATGGAATTCCATAGGGATGAGGATCGAATAATAAAAGATTTATCGAAAGCAGCGGTGGGCCATTATATATAAATCTGAAGACTGGGAACGGATATGGACAGAGGATTTGAATTGAAGGAGCTCGGAGATGTATGAAGGACGGCAGGAGTGAATGACTTGGAAGAGCTATAAGAAAATTAGAGACAATTTTTGAACTATTTACTATCCATTTTAAATTACTTATTAAAAAATAAATATGTATCCCAAGCTTTTTCAGCATGGCCTTCAATAACTGGCCCAGGTATAATTCAGAAAAATGTTAAGACAACTGCTCAAAACATAAAATAGAAAAAAAAAATGTATCCTACCGAAAGACTATGAATTAATAAAATTGATTATACAAATCTATTAAATTAATTAAATAACAAATTTATACTTTACCATCTCTGAAGCATCCCAATCGGTACATAGTGGGCATCTTAATTACAAAGGCAAAAATGTCATCGATGAATGTGTTTAAGCATTTATACGACATCATTCGCCAAGGCATGTGCGCAACCGATTTCAACTTATAGTTAATGAAAAGCTGTGGTGTCATCATTATAAAACCTGTTTAAAAATGCAAAGAGAAATGAGTAATAATATATTAATATTTGAATTAAGGAAGAATAATAAAAATGTATTTATCTCCCAAAGAAATCCAAGCGTATAACAATATTAACTTGTAATTTATTAATGGCAGATTTTAACTGACAAATAGCACTGCCGTTCTGTTAATTTAAATTCAAATAAATCACCAATAGATGGGTTATTTGGATATATACATTTAATGGAATAATTCGGGTTAGTTTTATATTTCTAGAAAATATTTCATCCCACCTTATTTCATTTTACACTCAACCAGTTAACAAAATGCAAACAATTACTCCTGTTATCGCAGCCAAAAACTAAACATAACAGTAAGGTTACATATACATGCATACACCGGTTTTGACTGCTACCATGACCATTCTAATATATTACTTCACTCAGCTACTCCACAAAAAAAAAAAAATAAAATAAAAATAATAGTACCAAACATCAGCAAGAAGCCGTAGATCATATTCAGGACCCAAGAGTACCATCCTTTATGATGAAGATATATGAGAGAATATACAGAGTATGCGGCCAGCATTGGGAACAGGACCCACGAGAGGTACTTGAAAGCCAACTGGTCGTACTGCTTCGTACTCGACTCGACATAAGATCCCTTGTCGGTGAACTTCAGTCGAGGTATAATTCCTAACAACTTGTTTTCACGATTGAGACTTATATCCACCACCTGCGTTAAAAAAAAATCTTTATTATTTTAATAATATAATTAGACAAATGTTGTAACTCCAATCTTACCTGACTAAGAGGGCAAGGGAAGAGGATAAAGGATAAAACAATTAAAAAGTGTACTAAATAAGTAAATACAACGTGTCCAGCTATGTTCAATTCCTTAAAGATCAGAAGTTCTCTGTGCTATATTTTCTAAGTTATTTTTATTTTTGCAATGTGTTGACCTTCTAATGAAAAAAATCTGGTGCGTTACTCGCATCACACAACTTTCACTAACTACTCTCTTCTTAGCAGAAATAAGTATTTTCAGACAAAGGGGAAGTGTATGAAAACCGTATATGTGTATTTATATAATATTGTCAGAGTTCGTATTATATTAATCTCATGTCATGTATGGAAGCTTCTAATCTTTCGGGCGAGCTCGTATTCTTTTGGTTCCCCAGTTACAACTATTCTCCATTACAATCTCTTATTTCTCCTTTACACATACAGAAACTCCTGAGTATGACCCGGTATGGGCAATTAAGATCTTCTTTCCTCCAATAGTAAGTAGTACTACAAATTATCATTGCTAATTGATTAACAATAGAGCAGATTATCACTGAAAACTGATTATCATCAATTTCTATTACATCTTTTTTTATTTGTTTTCCTTTTGATTTTTAACCCATATAAATTTTTTATATTTATATATATATATATATACATATTTCATTGTGTAAAGGAGAAGAAGAAATAATTTTTGAAAGAACGACATCCTAAGTTTAGAAAGAGGTACATAGAATTTAAAGAATCCATGTGACAATTAGGAATTATGATGTATAATGTACTATTAGAGATCCATATATATTAATGTTTTACATGAATATGGTGCAAGGCAACAAAAACTCCGTGTAACATACGGAATATAAGTAAATGAGACAGTAAAAAAAAAGGATAAAAATGTTTAAGCTGGTAAAAAAATATAACATTAAAATTTATAAGATATAAAAGAATTTTCACCTTGTTTATTTTCCAAACTTCTATCGCAAGACCGACAAAACATGATATCTTTATGAGAGTGTTGGTATCATTATCCAAGACGTAAAGTAATACAATGAGCGACTGGAAGACATTAAAGAAAACTGATCGTACAGAGAGTCCTTCCAGAGATTTGCGGTTGTTCCAGAATTGAATATCTGAAAATATATAAATTGTATTAAAAAAAAAAACTTAAATAATATAGCAATAATAGACATAAAAAAAAAAGATAAGTAAGGTATGATTTTAATCTAGGTTCAAAAGTCATAATTTTTTTAAAATAAGTATGATTTTCAAAGTATTTAGCAAACTTATTAAGAAAACGTTCATGCAATAAAAGCTATTCTGATACCTTAACAATAACAATTTTTCTTCAAAAATACATCCAGGTACATCTTAACTTTTAAAACAACTAAAATAAAAGTGTGAGTTTAACAACTCTTGGGTTGGGATTATAAAAGTTGTTTAAATAGGAAATAAGTGAGTGAATGTTTACACATACTGGTGTTTATTTTGATGATTTTAGTATGAAGATAACAACAATGAATTTTCAATTTTGGCATTTCTAAAATTTCTTTTTTTTTTATATAAAATAATAATCTGTGAGAATGTGTCTTCTTAACTATTAATCTCTTGCCTTTATTGAGCATGAAAGATGAAAAATACATTTTTACAAATCCAATGATAGGCCACGTAATATGTCAAAAATACCTTACCATTTTTGAATGCTAACAGCTCGAAAACAGAGTGGAGAAGCGATATGATAACGGTAGCTGTGAGGAGATACGGTGAGGTTTCTAGAAGCGCTTCTTTCAAGGAATCTTGATCCTCATCTTCAGTCTCATCCTGTATTTAATAATATAGTTATTCTAAATTTTAATTATGAATAAAAAAAAACTATACATATATAGATAGAAAAAAAACTTTATTCTGGGACTAAGTCCCTTCAGAATAACAATAATGTACAAAATAATAGAATATTACTGGCCTTAACATTTGAAACAATAAATAAAATTGATAAAATAAAATAAAAAGTAAAGAAAACCTTAGGTGCACAAGCTATATACAATACAGATAAAACTATGTACAGAGCATTTAAAATTATGAACAAAACAATTAAAAATACGAACGAATCACTTGAACTATGAACAAAACTATATATAAGGGTTGAACAACATAAACATACACTTTGAGAAATGAAGAACGAAAAAGAGATCGAGTTCATTTCATAAAAAAAAAAAAAAAACTTTACTTGAATATATATATAAAAATAAACAGTTAATTATAATTGAATAAAAAAAAATGTATGTATTGAAATTCCTACGTTGATAGTAAGAAATGCATGTACTATCTCTTACCAAGTATTATGATTATATGATTGCTGCACAATACATATATAGTATTAATAGTTAGCTGGTATCTGACTGTTTTTGGAACAGGAATTGGAATAGGAGGTTTTTGAATGTGTATAGGGAAGGGGCATGTCGAATTTTGATCGGGAGGGAATTCCAAAAGTTGACAGAGCGGGCTATAAAGGAATTTTGGAATGAGGCAGATCTATGAGAAGGGATGTATAGGTCAGAGGGTCGAGATCTTGTCGTGAGGGAATGGATTGAGGAATTAAATTGGAGAAGGTTGTAGACATAAGAAGGATGATAATCGGTAATGATTTGATAAAGGAAAGTGCCTAGGAAATGTATATACATCTATAAATCTATGTAAAAAAACTATACATATACATATACATCTATGTATACTACACGTATACTATACTACATATAGATGTATATACAATCACCTGGAATATATTTGCTGTAAATCTGCTCCTCATCGAATGTGCAAGGTACATTTGCCATTTAAAGAGAGATAGTGGCTGGTAGGTAATTCTCAAATCCAAATACCTGAAAGCAATAAAACATAAGTATTCATAATATCATATAAATCATCAAATTGAAATTTCTCAAAGGTCGAGAAGTGAGTTTATGAAATGAATAGTTCCCTCTTATCCTTCAGTAGCTGTGTGTTCTGTGGTTTTACTCAAATTAAATTTGGACTAAACATGCCTGTTTCATACACATAACGAAAGAGGGGAGGAGGGTGATAAAGTTCTAGCCTTTAGATCCTTCTCTTTATCTAATATGTAAGTATATGTACTGATTTTCTCAACAATATTTGTTTGTGTTTTTATTGTTTCATATTGTTATTAATAATATAACAAGTAAAGAAAATATAAACAATAATAATTTCGAAATGTGAAGAGTGTTACTTATATTCATATATAAAATAAATAATTATTTATTAATACATTAAAAATGCATACAAAATATAGAATTTCTTAATAAGAAATATAAATTACTGAAGGAAGTTGGTCGACTGTTCTACGTATCGTGGGTGATAAATATTCAAGACGCAGTCATTATAAGGTTTTTATCAGTGCCGATGTTTCAACCCAAGTATAAGACACGAGTACTTGAATATCTTCAGTGCTGGAAGTACGCCCTGATGATGACCCACATGTTTGGGTTGAAACGTCGGCACTAATAAAAACCTTATAACTACGCCCTGATGATGACCCACATGTTTGGGTTGAAACGTCGGCACTAATAAAAACCTTATAATGACTGCATCCTGAATATTTATCAGAAATATAAATGCTAGAGATAATGTGATATTTTTGCACTGCATTTCATTGGTCAGTGCTTTTTAATTTGCAGAAAATGATTATAATACGTTAATATGAATCAATATAACTAGTGATTAGATATATTGAAGACAAATTTACCAACTTAAATTTAGTTGGTGAACTTACTTTGGTTTCTCAAAAAAATAAAATAAAATAAAATAAAAAAAAAAGATTGGAGAATAATAATGATGAATATTGACTGTAAACTTATTTTGTTTAATCATTAAACAGTAACACTGCGGAATGCTAAAGCGTGGTATAGACAGACACTGCATAGGGAATCTCTGACCTAAAACTATTCTCAATAAACAATCTAACACAAAACAAAACCTTCTGCACCAATAAAATTCATGAAGGATCTTGAATTAAGTACTGCTTCTAAGTTGTGCAAAGAGAGGATTTGGCCATGATCACACTCGACCATCAGGTTCACACAATGGAGAATACCCACATTATAGATAGTGTAGGATAGGTTTTTAGGGCGATAAATTCCAGGATAATTCCGCCCACCCAGATTATAGAAACTGGGCTTGCCAAAGGAAGATCTCTGTAACTGACCAAAGGCTAAGGTAACAGAATAAATAATTATCAGCCAAGAACTTGGTCACAGAATAATAAGTGCCTTACTCATTGAGCAATACTGCTCCTACTTCGATAACTAAACATCCTCTTAACCAGTAATATTGAAGTACTGTATCAAATATCTAAAAAATAAAATATAATTCATCATTATTGTTATTAGTTACTTCATTATTTCCTATAAACATAGGTTCCTCTTTTTTACAGTGATGACATTTTTTTTATACTAATCGGCCAGCAAGGACCATATGAATATCATTTCTTGTTCTCCTTCACACCTTCCGCCTTCCTTCTACTCTAATACTCCTTCATCCTCCTGGACTGTTTCTCTCGCTCGTCTTTACTCCATTTTCTCCCTTCTCGCCACAACCCCAACCGGCTTTAGTTTTTTCTCAATCTCTCAATCCAAGCAGTCTTTATCCATGATTTTTAGCCTACTAAGTTCCTCTTTTATTTGTTTTACATATCCCCCCTACTTTTATAGCTGCTTACTTTACATATTTTTATATTGGGTTGGCAAATAAGTCCTTTGGGTTTTTTTTTTTGCATATTTTTATGTCACTATGATACACTTCTTATCTGGTGAATTAATCTCTAAGGTGGATTGCTTATCATGTTTGTAATATGTCAACAACTATATCTGTTAACTCTCGTTAAACTAGCTTAAGATTGTGTTTGCTATTGCACTATGAAAATAAAAATAAAATATCATTCATTATCGGCATATTTTGATATATTATTTTAAATAAGGTAGGCGTGCTGCATAAGCTCATAGAAAAATTTGCAGTGTTGATGGGGATTATGACTTAACCGAACACACCTTTCAAAATTTGTTTTCATTTCATTCAGGAAATTTTGAAATCAATACCCCCATGAAATTAAAACGAGTAATGTTAAGTCCATTGTTGATCAAAATCCCATCTATCAGTGAGAAAGAATGATGTAGCTCTAAATGTGTCGCACACAAGCATAGAAAACCGTTTAGACAAGATCGGCTATATTTCTACGCTTACTATTTTATAAAGTTCGGTATTATATTATAAAAGCTTATATTATTTATTTATTTTTTTTCATAAGTTTATAGTTTCACATATTGTTATCTGGCCTTTTCTTAGCCTCAGTGAATGCCTGAACTTTGGGCTGAAACGTTGGCAAATATAAAAATAAATATAATTTATTTATTTTTGACTGAACACCCCAACCAACTTCTCTTCAATTATTCACTACAGTCAACCATCACTATTCAAATATCTGTCAGATTATTGAGAATATACCATTGGAAAAACTTTTACAGAAACACAAACTATAAAAAAAAAAAAAAAAATAAATAAAAAAAAAAGAAAAATTCCATAACATAATGGAAACAAAATTCTGGTTAATTATATATTGAATAAATCTAAACAAAATAAAAAATTAATTTAGATAAATAATACATACTGAGTTGTGTCGTTAATGGGTTGATAGTCTCTCAATAGATTCCAAAAATCATTATAAAATACTACTGGTTTATAGTAATTACCATTAGGAGTGAATTCAATGACTGAAATTAATAAAATAAATTATAAACAAAATTAAGTAGAATAAAAAAAAAATACATTAAATATATAAAAATAATTACATTCATTTAGAGGAGATGGGATAGTTCCTTGTATCCAATTGGTCTGATCTGTCACAAAATTGATCGTAATATTCGGATGCCAGTGTGAAATAATCGCTTGATTGGTTTTTTCTGCTTGCTGAAATGAGAGTATTTTTATTATTATTATTTTTTTAACCCTTTTTATTGAGAAATATTACAGTAAAAGGGTGTTAAATACAAAAAAAAATACTTATATCGATAATTTATCACATAGTTTAAATCGAATATTTACTAAATACAACGTACCTGAATATAAATTTGGGTATAAACCTACTAGTAAAAAAGTAAATTTATAAAACATATAAGACAAAATAGAAAAAAATAAAACAACAGGTATGGTATATAAGACAAACATCTTAAACTGCCCAGGAGTATATTATAGCGAAAGTGGGCAATACTTAAAAGACAGGATATACTACATAAAAATGATTGCAAAAATAAAGAAAATTAATAATATGAAAATAAAACAGCATTAACACAACACCATGCAGAGTTAGATCATAATTTTTATTTTGATGAAGTAGAGATTATACACAGAGAGAAAAATAAATATAGAAGAAAATTCTTAGAAGCCATTACCATTACAGAAAATTTAAACAATGCAATCAATTTCAAAACGCACTCACAAACTATTATTAAATCATATGCTGAATTAGTAAACAAACTAAAAAAATAAAAAATAGAGTTCATTTTTTTATCGAGGGTACTGATATTAAAATTAATTTGTTCTTTAATAAGTTAAAAGATTATCTACCAGAGTTCAGCAAATTTACTCCCTTTCTCAAATCTCAATACACTTGCTAGTAAGACAACTACGTTAAGACATCACCCAAAGTGAGAAAATGAATAGAGTATAGATCAAGAAATATCATATAGTTTTTTATATATACAAAACAAGGTAAATAGGAACTAAATAAAATAATTATTTTTTAGTTTTGGATGGATAATGATTTTTTGAATAATGGATAAATAAATTTTTCCTATATTGATAATTAATTAAAATTTAAAAAAGAAAAAACGTATTATATAAAGTTTATAATTAAATACTGTTTATTAAAAGATTAATTTTTAAAAATGTACAAAGTAAAATTGAAGAAAGCTAGTAGACTGTTCTACATATAATGGATGATAAATATTCAGGACATAGACATTATAAGATTTTTTTTTATTTTTATAATAAAAACTTCTTATAATGACTGCGTCCTAAATATTTATCATCCATACAAAGTAAAATAAGTGTTATTTCTTATTTTATAGAAAGAAATGCTTGCTTTATTTTTTCTGGATAAATTTTACAAGTAAAAATTATATAAATGTGGACAGGTGGTATAAAAATGTGCAATCGATAAATTTGAAAATGGCCAAAAAGGTCGTAATTGTAATAAAATGTATACGTATATAATAATGTATTAAATACAAATAAAGGATTGTAAGAAGAAATAAGGGTCATATTAAGAACATAATCAATTATAGATTAAATATAATAAATCTCACCAAAATATGAATAACCCTAATAAGGTTGTTCATCATAAATTACGTTTTTCCTCAATTAACGACAATTATAATATAGTTCAGAGGGCACGTTCACACCATATTTTACATTGGCTTCCGATCAAGAAAATTTTTGTTTTTTCTATTTACTATTTGATTTTTCTTTATTATAATTATGATTAAATACAAACAATACCTCCATTTCCTCTGGGGTAAGAGGTGACTCTCCAGTGAGTAAGTTCTGAGTTTTCGTATACCGCAATTTCTTAAACTTGTTCAGTTGTTTACTAGAATACGCTACACCAACGTCTGATAACCTTTCTTTTACATTTTTCTGAGCTGATGTATCCTCTTTTTTGATAATATATGTGTGTAAATACAAGGAACCGTTATTGCGAATTTTCTAGAAAAATACATAGAAATAATTGATGAAAATTAAAAAAATATAAATTGTCTTAAATTAATAGGCATGCTCTCCATGTTGGAAAATTATTGAAAAAACAACTAAATGCTTCTGATCCTAATATTTACATTTAAAATAAAGAAATCTGGTGATTTGCCTGAATTATTTTTATGGAAATATAAATACTATTGGGAACATTTAGTCGATCACTTATAAAAAACTAATCGATTCGGGTAAAAAACTACAGGTTCATTATCACTTAAAATGATAAATATTTGAAAAATCATTATATTTAACTTTTTTAAAAAACATTTTTGTTTATAAAAAAAATACATAATACAGATTATGGAATAAAGAAAGTACATTAAAGCTTTATAATAATTTACTGTAGCCATTTTACCTGAAAACATGAGTATTTTTAGGTGACAAGATATCAAATCACTTTTTTATTTTATTTTATGGAACTTGAGGTGAATCTCAACTTATTTTGTAATAAGTCTCAACTTAATCAATATGGACTTAAGCTTAATAACAAGGAATTTTTTTTTATATTTGTCTTCTTTCTTTGCCTCTCGTCTATACAGATAAGTTCATCCACTCAAAAGTTCTTTTTAATGATTTTAACAATGATAAACTTTACTACCATTTTAAGTTGATTTTGTATAGTTTACCGTGAAGCAATTTTTAATTACTTAAATTAGAAATTTATATTTTTATTTTTAAATATAATGAGTAACTAAAATATATTTATCAAATCAAAATGTCTCAATGGATCAGAAACTCTAATTCTGAATAGGAAACAAGACATAGAAAACGTGAGAAAAAGGAAAGCAAACTCAACAAGAAAGATCTTAATCAAAGTCCACAGATGAGCAGTACAGACACAGGAGTAAAGCAAAAATCAAATCAGATATAGGCAAATGCTACTCTGAAGTAAAGTACCAAGTATTTTACTCAAATTGAATCACTATTGGGAATTCAATCACTGCTTCAGTTAATCGTTTGGCATCAACTGAAGTAGTAATTAAATTCTTTACTACTCAAAAAAGGTCAGTATTTGAGTACAATACTATGCTATCACGAGTTACTCAGTACTCAGAACAGCATTTGCCCATCTCTGAATCAAATAATACACAGATGTTCACAATGATTTAGGAAACGTAGACTAAAATTTTATGGAAATATCAAAATAATGGACTATAACTATCTTAACGAACTATTTCACTGATACTGCCCCTCAGCATTGACTATCCCTTTTTGCCAACAGTTAATGCTTGTGAATTTCGCTGAAACTGCTCACCGTAGTGGTGAATTAATCAAACAATATTCAATATAATGCTATATTTTACTAGTATAATGTTAACGAAATAAATTTTTTTTGACTTGATGAAATAAAAGGAAATGAAACCTAGCAACATGACTGATATCAACGGTAACTCTTCTCCAATTTGAAAACACAGTTTATAATTGCCATACTGCCTTTTGGCTACACTGCTTCTGGAGTGGGCAAAAAGACCAGGAACAATGAAATATGCTCCTATTATGTTCCACTAAAATAGCTAAGGCAGTTTTCAACTGCCAGTAGTCGTTGTGGTGGACAGTGCCAGGAAAATAGTACCTTTACCAGACAAATAGTTGAATTTTATGAAAAGAGGAGTAAAGCAGAAACTGATGCATAAAATTTAGTGAAATATGAGGAATTATATGAGCTTATCAGAGATTATTCTAGAAGACATTCATAAGAGAAAAACCTTTAGATAAAATATTTAAACTTGGCAAACTATTCTGGATTATGTATCAAAGACTAGAATTAGGAAAACATGGGCTGAAGTACATCTGAGTACTTAGTATAATCCCAACCGGACTTATTTTCTTCTAGTAATAATAATAGTGATTAAATCAACGGTTTTCTTAGGAGTATAGCAAAGTCAAAGTTAAAAGGTTTCTCTAAAAAATTAGACATTTCTGATTGGTATTATTATACCTTTCAGATACACAAACAGTAAGACTAATAAATAATATTTAAATTATATACAAAAAAAAATTATAGAATTTAAAATATAACTTAACATGAATCACAAGTAAACATGAAATATAAGAAAATAAAATTAACATACCTCTGATGTTTTTATGGTAGTTTCGAAAGTGTATGTACCATCGCCATCAGTCCCACTCAGCCAATCTCCATAAACCAAGTCATGTTTCTCCCATATGAGGGCTTTTGAATCATTAAAATTTGTGAATATTTCATGTTCAGATAAAAATACATACAAATCCTAGAAAAACAAAATTAATTATCATAAACATTTATTCAAAGCACAAATAATGATAAAAACAAAATCTGGTACGCGTATCACACGACTTTCACTTAACACCCTCTTCTTAGCAGAAATAAGTATTTTCATACCAAGAAGAAGTGAAAGTAAAAATTATAGACACTATATTTATTTACATTTCATTGTGGGAATTTTTGTATTGCTGTAATCTATACAATCAAATATTAAATAATACCAATGATAGCATTTATGAAAACTGCATATGTAGATGTACATAATATTGTCAGAGTCCATATTATATTAAGCTCATGTTACGTATGGAAGCATATCCTAATCTTTCGGATCTCGGGCGCCCTCGTATTCCTTTGGTTTCTCCATTACAACTATTATCTGTTATGATCTCTTATTTCTCCTTTAGTTAATAGTCAAATTCTTTAATATTTTATATAACTAACCATTTTTTATACCTAAGATTAATGTGAAATAATTAATTATTTCAAATAAAAAAAATTAAAGGTACTTTACAGGAAGCTAATATTGAAAATTAGCCATTTAAGCCCTGTTAGAGAATAAAACCTACATTACATTAAAAATTGCTTAGTAATATATTGATATACCGAGTTTGATCAAAATCCTTAAGAGCCGTTTTTGAAAAAATCATAAATTGCGTAACAACGATTATATTAAATACCACTTTTGGTTAGCCGATTTTGATGAAAAAGTTGCTTTAACATCTCAGGTATATACCTGTGTAATATTAACCTTAAATATGCAATTTCACTTTCATACGACTTTACGTTTTTGAGCTAGACTGGTGTCTTACACACGCACTCCCTCACACACACACAGACAGACCATTTTACAGGACTTGGACCCAGGAGACCTCTAAACATTTATTTCTGTTGAAAACTCATATATAAAAATTTTCACGATCACAATGCTGTCCCTTACTATATATTTCATATATAGGAAAGTGAAAGTAATAGAAATAAATTATAATAATAAAAGATACATTAATTAATTACTGCTTCCATTTCACAAAAAAGTACAAATAAGTTGAAATAAACTCTAAAGTTGCAATTAGTAAACTTTAAATTATCAAAAACTTGAACAATGTTTAAATATATATTGTAATATTGTCAATGAAATAGGAATACTAGAATAATATAATGTTGTTCCAATAAGACTAAGTTTCCAATATTACATGAATGCCAGCAAAGGAGATCCTTAAACATTCTATCTATCCTAAAGAAGTTACTGGGAGAATGTACGAAACTAGAGAAAGAGGCTGACTTCAATTAAGATCGGAGGATGCAGTATCGAGTAATACCCGAGGATTTGGTGGGCACCCACAATTTGCAAGAGGCTGCTAAGCGTAGACTGGTTTGATAAATATACTAAAAATATTTTAAACAGCCATTTAGTAAACCCTTGTAATAATTTTTTTCTTACTAAAAAAAATTGTTAGTTCAATTATTTCTAATGAAGGTTAATCAATACCTAAGCTCTTTCAAAATCTATAAACTCTATCTTTATTTATCAGTAATTAATTATGAAATTTTGAGTTAACTTAGTACATTATACAAAAAAAGAAAACAAGTAATTTATGAAAATTCCAAGAACATCCACTTAAAAAGAAAATAATAAAAAACTAGCTCCACCTGCAGTTAAAAAAAATGATAATAGAAAGTCTTCAGTTTGAAGGGTTAATACATTTTTAATTCGTTCTTCTTGTGATATAAGTAAATTCTGATTTTTTTAGCAACATTATCCAGATAAGGTAAGATATAGTTGTCCATAAGAGAAACAGTATTCACTCAAGTTGACACCTTAAATTGACTACAGTTTTCCAGATTGATAGACAAGTATGGTTATTACTCTGTTTCTATATGTTCGAGCATGATAAATGTATGAGGTCTTCCTCAATAAATAATATTAAAAAAAAAATTATACAATTACAACCCACGGAAGATCTAGGGTTCAGTACTAAGTAAAGAAGGCACTGACTTTCCCCTCAATTAAGAGACATCTACTTTATAAAGACTGGGTATGCCCCAGGGAGGTTTCCTGATCCTAGGGTTAATCAGCCGCTGATGAAACATAATAAATATTTAACTGCCACATACTCGATTCAAATCCAGGATTTTGAACTCAGGAAGTCAGCATCTTACTCATTGGGCTATCTTGCTCGCTAATAAAGTCTATGTAATACAAAAAGAATTTTAAAATCTAACAGGTATTCTCTGAGCCTACCTAAGACTAACTACATTTCTAACTCATTAGAAAATACTCTCTAGCTTTATATATTAGTATGTAATATATTAGATTAAATTAACATTTTTATTTTTTGTTCAGTGAAATAAGGAAAATAATTAACAGGGAAAATGTAACTGTAATATCTTCCAATGAATTCTACTTATTTTCTTAACTTTTATTTTAAAATTGGCTTTTGGTAATTCCTCAAACTTGTTAGTCTAATCACAAAACATAAAAATGAATGAAACTTTGGCTTTGATTACATAGTTCAACATCATTCTGTGTTTTGATTAGAGCAATCCCAGGAACAAATAAAAAGAAACAATAATAATAAAAAAATAAGTATGGTTAATATGAGGAATTGGCAGAAAGTTATTAGAACATAAAAATCAAAGAAAGAAGAAATACAGAATATATTAAGAAAAATTGTAAGAAGGAAATAAAGAAAACTTATCTTAATAAATGTATTATGGAATCGAAGGTTTCTAAACATTCAATAACCAACTCAATTCCTATAGAAATATGAATTACTTATTACACAAATATGAGAAAACAGCCTATATTCTAGTCCTTAAATTTTAAGTAAATGTAAATCAATTCATTAACTAATCACAGAACTTTTTTTCAATAATGTATATTTTTACCAATCACTAAAATTAGATGATGATGTTGATCGGAATACAAATCTCTCTTAAGAACAAGGCAGCATTCATAAAAGTAATAACCATGAACCAATGTCGATTAAAATCAAAATGCTATTAAAAAAAGAAGACTAGCTTCTTTTTAATAGTACTATGAATACCATTTTAAAAAGCATTTATTCAAAAATAAATAAAATTTCAGAAAGGAAAGTGAATACAGCTTCAATCACATAATCACCAAGTCATGCAATAATCATTAAAATCACTAATACATACTGAAATAATCAGAATCGATTAGTTATCATTCAGAACAGATCCCTTTATAGCAGGATTAAGAGATAAATTACTGGATTAATTTTAAAAATAATAAACTTATGCATTTAGGATAATTTATAAATATCACAGTATCTTTATTGACAAAAACATGTATGAAATTAATACATTTTCCCATAATTTATAATAGATTTTGTAGACAGAATTAATACGGATTAGTCATGATTGTTTTTAAACTGAATAAAGATTACATCATTATAAAATGTCCCAATATAACAAAATAATAATGCTACTTATAAAACATAATAGAATGGATAGTTAATGATTCTAATTATTCGCTTAAATTTCTATTTCATTTTTTGAATAAGATGTTATGAAAGTAAAATAACAATACAAATTTTAAATGATCTTCATGATTGATTATAAACAATTAATCATTGCCTAACAAATCACATTATTCTATTGTGATGTTTATTTCATCAGATTAAGTAAGAGTAATTCTACAGTTACCTAATTCATGACAAACTTTTAGCCTGGTGATTGCCTAAAATTTTAACTGGTTCATTTTTATCCAATTTAATAATATAAAATACATAATCCCAATAAAAATATAAATATATTACAATGAATGTTGATATGTGATTTTTGAATGAAAATATACGTTATATAACATCTTGACATTGAGATCATTATCTTAGACAAAGAGAATGGAGAAAAGGTTCTATAAAAAGGTAACCCTGCCCCAATTTTTGAAAATAGGGAAGGGGGCCGAAATTATTAAAGCAACCCTCAAAATAAATAAGCTAATATATAATTTCATAGTCAGTCAAAATGATGAGTTGAATTTTTATCTCATTATCATTATATAAATAGAAAACTTATACAAAAGAATAACCTTGGAGTTAGATTATAAAATATTTATAAAAAAATTTGCAGACATCTTTATTTGTCATGATGAAACACTTAAAACATAACGACTCAATGGTAATGCATGGATTTAGATAAAATTTTTCTACTAACCATCAATGTTGCATTCTCAAAGTAATTAAGTGCAGGTGGTCTTGCCGGAGTAGTAGTAGAATCGGGAGTGGAGGGACTTTTTCTAAAGAATGATGCTATCATGTACATAAAAAATGCTCTTAAGAGGAAACCTTTGGTAATTTCAAACATGGATCTTCTGGGTGGTTCTGGAGCTGCATTTTGGTTCTGTAACATAATGAAAAAGGTCTTAGTAACAAACCTAGAAAATAAATAAAACTGAAAAATCCAAAAAAGTCTTCCAAAACATGCTATTGAGTGGAGTGAAAAAAACGAGATTTCAATAAAGCATTTTCACTTTTCATAGTAGATACAAACTATAAACAATAAATTATATTCACATAGAGATTTAAAAAAAATAATACTAAAGAAAAGAGAATTACATCTCCTGCTCCTTGTGGAGACAACTGTCCATTTTGTGCAGTTTCACTACTGGAATTTCCACCAGAAACATTGTTCGTAGTTTCTTCTACCATATTCTATCACAGATACTACACTTACAATTCAGATACAATAAATATTAACAAATACTATTAGCACCACAGACAATCATCACATTCTGATAGGTCATATGAGTTTGAAGTTAACGTAAGTGAAGACACTGTTAGTCGTGCCTTATCAATAAATATTAAGATAATTTTCTAATCAAATAAATACATATTAATTTAATAAAATAAAATATTATAGTGCTTAAATTGATAATTAGAATATTTATTTATTTATAAGCAATATTTTTTTAATCAAATATTTATTTATTTGGTGGCACCCCTACCTACTTACAAAACGTCAACAAAAATTTTTGGAATTGTTGTTAACGTACGTTCGCGATTTGAGTCGATGATTTACATAATACTGACTGAATTCCTTTGTAGAATTGATATAAATTTGAAATAAATATGGTTTCTTCTTGCAATAGTGTGTGTTATTCTTTAGTTTACAAAACAACGCCTTCGATGTCAGTTAGAAGCCGGTAGAATGTGATTACTGATAGTGATTGTTTTAGTTTAAAAACACTTCATAATATGGCAAATATTTTACCAGTAGATCCCAAAGTTTTCCCTTTAGAAAGTATACCATCAGTTTTGAAGATATTTAAGAATGAACTTGAAAAACCTGACCCTGATTTGGCTTTGTTATCTATCATCGCTGGAGCCGTTGAAAATTCAATGACATGTAACAAAAACATTGCTTCTAATGAAAATGATATTTATGATGAACAGAAACTTCCTTCATTGCAGTATAACATCCTTAATGCTCTCTACACTAAGTTTCACAGTATAATCAAGGGTTCAATTGATGTAACCCAGTACAAAAGTAAGTATGCCACAAGAGAACTTATAAGAAAAGTGTCAGATGTGATTTGGAATTCACTAACTCGAAGTTATTATAAAGATAGAGCCCATCTTCAAAGTTTATACAGTTACATGACAGGTACTTAGTGTAATGATAATGACAAGTAGTCTTATGTCCGAATTTTAAGTACATGTTTTAATTTATATTACATAGGAAATAAGCTTGATTGCTTTGGAGTTGCATTTGCTGTGGTTGCGGGTTGTCAAGTACTAGGATTTAACGATGTTCATCTAGCTTTATCCGAAGATCATGCCTGGGTTTTATTTGGTGAAAACTCTCAAGAGACTGCTGAAGTAACATGGCATGGTTAGTATTAATATTTAGCAAGACATCTTCTGAGCTATCATGGAGTATTATGTTATGTAAATGTTTTAGGTAAAGGAAGTGAGGACAAGCGAGGCCAGAGTGTAGAGTCTGGTATAAATTCACGATCCTGGCTCTATGTTAATGGTTACCCTATAACATGCAATAGACATATGGAAGTTGCAGCTCTAGTATCATCGATTAATCCGTCTCTTACAGTTACTACAGATTGTCTTGAAGTTTCTATATTTCAGCAAGAGCTTTTGTGGCTGCTATATGACATGGGCTATTTAGACAAATATCCAATGGCCTTAGGTATTTTTGTGCATATCAATAATTTTTATGTTAGTACTTACTAATAATAATGTTTCACTTACACTTTATGATCTCATTTTTAGGTAATCTTGCTGAGCTTGAAGAATTGAAACCAACAGATGGGCGTGTCCCTTGTTTTTCTCTTTTGCAACAAGGGATACTTACAGCGAGGAAATATTATAATAATATGCATGTTTATCCTTATACTTATCAGGCTGGTTATTTCTATCGTCACAATCTCTATAAGCAAGCATTTAATTCATGGGCAAATGGTAGTGATGTAATCAAACAGTGAGTATATGATGAATTATGTTACCTTTTTATGATTAAGTTTTTAATCTCTTCTAAAACATTGATATATATATTTTATATTGAGGAAACACATTTTATCTTGAGGAGACAATTAATACAGGTATATGCAAGACAACTGATTAATTATCTAATATTGTGTCTGTTTAATTTAAATTAATGTGGGACTTTATAATATATCATATTGTTTTTAAACCAATATAATAAGGATATTATATCAAGTAAAGATTGCCCTGTTTTATATCTTTATTGATTGTTTATAAAATTTCATTGTCCATCTTTGTTGTATTTTTTAGGTATAACTATTCTCGAGACGATGAAGAAATTTACAAAGAGGTTATGGAGATTGCAAACGAACTAATACCACATATTATGAAAGTTGTGAGTTCTGGCCATAATGCCCATTCTCTACTTAAAGATCCTGAATGTTTTGCTGATTTACTAAGGTAAGCCAACAATGTCTTATTGGTATGGATTTGTTAACATCTCATTCTAATATGATGATAATGTATTATTACATAACATTGCAAAGGATCCAGAAGTTTTTTAAAAAAAAAGGTGTTCGAATTACTATAGGATGAATATTTTATTATATAGAGTTTATAAGCAGTGGCTGTAGTTTGAATCTAAAAAATAATCTTATCAAGTTATTATTAGTGCTTGCATTAAATTCATGCTTTTTTGAGTTATTTTACTTATTTTTGGCACTATGGTCCTGCAGATGTGATCCTTTCTTATAATACTTCTCTTCTGTCCCGGGCAATTATTCCCATCATCAGGATGTCTTCCACCTCACATGGAAATTATTTTAGTTGTTAAAGTCGTAAGATGAGATTGTCTTACTTTCTATACAAATATAAAGTGTAGCTCCATAAATGTGGATTGATTGTTGACTGTAATGAATAATTGAGAAGATTGGGTACAGTGTTCAGTAAAAAAAAAAAAAAATGTAAAAATAAATAAATTATACATTTTTTCTCTGAATACCCCAACCAATTTTCTCTTTAATAAAATGTAGCTATGGGATAAAATTTCAAACTAATGTTTAATATTAACTTTAAATAAGGCGAATGAGTAAAATGCTTAGTCTCTTGATAAAATTATTTAGCTTGGCTAAAATTATATTAAATTATCCTTGAATAAAAATAAAGTAATTATACTTAGCCCGTTATTGCTGTTCAGTCTTCAAAAATAACTTGTGTTTAAAATTATAACAAATATTATGATAGCATTTAGTTAGGAAAACGGTTGTTAATGAAATTTTTAAATGTCAAAACTACTATAAAGTACATTATGATGACTTGTATTATTTGCTTTGATAGGATAGAAAATTGAAAATGAGAGGAGTGACCTGACATTATTATTGATGAAAAAAATATTTAATTTTTCTTATAAAATTATGTAAATTAAAAAGGGATTTAGTTTAGATTGTTATTATATATTATTGTTCAGATAACTTAAAATATTTTATTTTATGCATTCTGATCATATTAAAGTTCCATTTTAATTATATTATTTTTCATAGGTTTTATGATGGTATATGTATGTGGGAAGAAGGAAGCCAAACTCCTGTACTTCACATTGGATGGGCTAAACCGTTGGTCAACACTATATCGAAGTTTGATTCGAGTGTTAGAAGTCAGGTTGTAATAATAAATAATGAAAACCACGACGATTCAATCATTAATAACAACAACGACTCTTGTAAAACTTTGGAAAATTCTAATATCACAGATATTACAATGGATCCAAAGGATTCGATCAACCCCAAGATTAAAGCACTTACAGCCGCTTGTGGCGAACGGCTTTTAAATAGAGATTTCCTTTTGCAAGGAGGTTGTGAGCCTTTTGTAGGTGAAGCCAGTACCTCCGTCGAGCTTAAAATAGAAATGAAGCCGAAACTTATCTTGTACAGTCAGAAGATGAAAGGTCTGAAGGACCTACTCCTGGCCGAGAAGTTGAATACGCACGCCATTTCTCTTCAGCTCACTGCGCAGAGCCAAGTGCAGTTTAATAAAAAAGGCCAAGCGCCCAGGGATGATTCTACGGGCTCTAGAACGAAAAGATCGAGAAGGGAATAATTATTTGTAAATGTATCTGTTTTATTTATTTTATGTTCGATCCATCTCAAAAGATGATCGTAGGATATATTAAATAGGGAAATACTGAATTTCTTTTTATTACAGTATTATATGATGTTTTGTTAATTATTTTGGGAAAACAAAAATCAAATTTTTGTTTATTAATTTCTGTCTTATTAAAAATTTACATTTTTTTGTTTATTATTATATATTTTGTAGTTTAGGAGAAATTTTGTCTTTTAAAACAGGGGTGGGCAGATATTTATTCGTTATGGGAAAGCCATTCCAATAGAAAATCTAATAAATATTCAAGTGCATTCAGTAGTTCTGATGTGTATTTTTTAGACATGGGTATATAGTCAACTGTTGAAATTATAATGATGAACATAATCAGAATGTGTACTGAAAAAAGAAATTTTTAACTACACATCCTAACCATTTTTCATTCTTAATATTTATTAATGATGTAGAGATGGTTGACCGTTGATATGATATGAGAAGGAATTAGTCGAGGATGCGGTCAAAAAAATAAAAAAAATTATTTATATATTTTAATTTTTTTTATTTTTTTGACCGCATCCTCGACTAATTCCTTCTCACTTAATATTTATTAGTTTATTTATTTTTAATAATAATTATTTTGGCTCATAGAATGATTAGTAGATATTCATTTGATGCTGGTAAGTATTTGTTATAGATAAACTTTTTTATGCTTCATTCTTTGAGTTATTTTTAAAGACTTTAAATTCATCCATAACTTGTTTTTCTCCTGCCATAGCAGGAATTTATTTTAAGGTTTCTTAAAAATAAATTCGGTATATAGAAATTTTGATAGTTTTAAATATTGCTATTAATATAGTACTTTCTAAAAACGATGAGTTCATTTTTTTTACATTTTATATTTTAATTAATATACCTATGTAGTATTTTCTTTACATAACAAACAAATAAATAGTTTAGGCAGAGTTATTTCTTTTTGGGAATATTCATTTTAGATTGTTTTCAATATTTATCTGGATAGATAACCACATTCGAAACCTTTCTGTTTTTTAAATATATATTTATTATTATAGTGAATTAATCTTCTGTGAAAAACCTGGCCTTTTCAAAATTTCTTTTGCTCTGTGAAAATTTTATTTACAATTAAACTTTGTTTATTCATCAACTGTTTATCAGATGCCAGGTAATTATTTTCCAATGAATTTTTAAATTAAATTATTTTAAAATAATTATTATGTAATGTTAAGTTTTTTTTTTGGAAAGATTATTCAATTTTCCGGTTTAAAAATAATCTGTTGCAATTAATGAAGTTTATTATGCTGTTGTGTCAGTTTTTAAATTTTTGCCCACTCCAGTTTTAGATTGTTAGTGTTCTACGTAAAATACATTTGTGTACGGAAATATGCACATAATGGTAAGATATTTCTATAAGGTTTCCAATTATTTTTTTGCGAGTAGCGAAAACATTCAGTATTAATCAGGGTGATTGTATATCCCAGTAGATATAGGACTAGATGATAAAATGAAATTTATAATCTTTCTATATATTAAATTAAATTTTAATATTATTTAAGTTAAAAGGACCATTAAATTTTAATTTTTGACTTGTTATGATTATCGAATAATTTTAAATTTTCTTTCAATTAATGCCATTTATTTTGTAAATTAGCTGATAGTCTTGCCATGTAGTCGTTATTTTGTTTTTGAGAGTTTCTCTTCACCGTTACGTATTATTATTTAAAATAAAAAAACTTATTTAATTACCATCCTAGCGACTCGAAATTTTTAATTATAAATGGTGACTATATTTTATATTTTTGCTTACCAGATGTATATTACTAGTAGTAAGTGGAACAAAAACAAATTTTAATTAAATGTACGTATTTATATATTTACGTAATCATAGTTGATTTTTAAAATGTTTAAATCATAAAATATTAAAAATTACTTTTGTTGTCATTGTATTGTGAATATGGCAATTAATTTAAATTGATAAATTAATAGTAAAATATCTCCATTTAAAATTAGTTTAATAACTTGATATTATTGATTATTGAACTTGTAAAAGTATAGAATCTTAATAAATACTCATATTATATAGTTGTCGGTAATATACTACAGATGACAATTTTTTTTGCTACTGTTCAGGTATAGCTTTAAATCGTGCTTATAAGTAATCTCATAAATTCTGAATTTTATTTTCCAATTTATGAAAAACATAGACAGTAGTATGAGAAAAACTTTTAGGTTCATTTCACTATATTTTACACTATATATGAGTCCCAAAAAAAGGACAGGCAAGTTATAAATTAATGAGTTATTTCCACGGAAACTAGAATGAAAACGAAAGTGACGCAATATGTTAACCATTGATCCATAGGAGTCGCTCTATTCTAATTGTTATTATTAAAAGACCTCCAATTTTTTTTTATTTATGTTTTCTTGTTCTACTGTCAATATGTTATTCTCTGTATGAATTTATTTAAACTCGGAAAAAAATTATTTTTATAATTTCTTTTATTCAAAATATAATATAAACACAGTCGACTCCGCACAATCAGTTCACCTCATGTGAGTTTCCCTATTTCTTAAATAATTTTAATATTATAATTATGCATGACCGTCACATGGGAGGTTGTCGGGGCTAAGGGGAGCCTCGGATTTGGGATTTTAGAAATTGTGTAATATTCTTGAAAATAGAGCTTTTATTAAATTCTGTATTTCACATTTTGATTCATTCATTTTCATCTTTGTTTAAATAAACCTTAATAGAAAAATTGTCAACTAAAAATTATTATTTCTAATCTCAGTTCCACTTATTTTTGTTAAAAAAATTATAGCTAACCTGATAAAGATCTAAATTATAGGCCGTTGGTGGAAGTACTAAAGTATTCCTAATTATTATTTGTCTGACTCGTAAACTTAAAAAAATACTCGTAAAAAGGCACAAATAGTTATATTCGTTTAGAATGTACATCGATCCCATAATTCACTATCCAGATTTTGTGGTGTTGACTGTATTTATATAAAAAAATATTTTCCTATTTATTTTAATTGTGTTTATTAAGCATTTTTTCATATATTTTTTGTGCAAAAATGTTGATATATTTTATTCTTAAATTAAAAACTTAAAATTAGTCTTTTGTAAATTTTGAATTTAAAAATGTAATTTTTCTTGAATGTATTGTTTGCTTTTTCTATACTTGCTTTAATTTAAAAAAAAAGTTTAAATGTTAGTGATTTAATTTTTTGTTATCATAAGCTCTCTTGAATTCTTAACAGCATTTTAAGTCTAGAATTCAGAGGTACACTATAAAATGTACAAAATTTTTTGTGTTAATTTTTAATCTTAATTTATTAAATATTTTGGGCTGGTCGCCGATTCATTTGGATCTACTCCAAAATATACTACAAATATAAAAAAAATATTAAGAGTTTTTATTAAATTAAACTTGTTCTGTTCCTGAGCTAAACATATAATTTATTCTGAAAATGAGAGATCTTAATCAAGAGACAAATCTAATCTCTGACTCAGCCATTAGCCCATAATATTTTATAATTATAAATATTATATTTAAAGTATAATATTAGTTAGATAGTTTAAAGTATCCAATGGAACTTAAAGAAAAATGGCCTTCATAAAACATGTAGTAAAATGAATTTGATAGCTTATTTTGAGGTACAGAATCGAATTGAATTTTTGTTAATACAATAAACTTCCTTTAATCTTCATGTTTAAGATTTGAGGTATTACATATAATATATCCTTGATTACGTACAGAATGAATATCGGTTAAAAGGCAAATTAAACGAAAAAATATATTCTTTAAGCAGTTTTAGTAAAATAAAAAGTGATATCAATTTGATGTAAAGTGAGAGGGTTTATGTTGGTTAAAGCCATCTTAAATCCTGGTTGCCAATTAGTTTTGAAGTGTCTTTGTTTTTTCTTTTTTTGTTGTAAAGTTCATAATTTCATGTGATTGAACGAACCATCACTTTCTTAATATTTCCAAGATATATTTAACACTTCACCCTATGTCAAAAATTGAACTTTTCATCTTTAATAGAAAAATTTATTTGAAAATCTTAAAAAAATCTTTGTGATTGATATGAATTTTTATTTTCAAAGTTGTGCCAGATTATAGCATATTGGATAATAGGAAGTTTACTGTAATATGTTTAATACATCATCAGTTATCTTATTAGTTGTTTACTTTTATTAGTATAAGCTTAGTAATATGTTATATTGTGAATAGTTATATAAAATTTACTTACATATTATATTTCTTATAGAAAATTTTTTTTTTGTTCTTTGAAATCGATTGTTAAGTTTAATTATATAAAATATGTTTATAATATAATTAGATTGTTGGATGAAAGATCATTTTCATTGAAGATGGTTTATGTTTTTTTTACATTTGTTTAGTTGATCGATTAAATTATTTTTAAAATGAAGAATGATGTTTATAATAACTATGAGATTAATAATGATTATTTATATTTTTTATACAATATAAGTAGAGTTCGAAGGTATTGTGTAGTATTTGAATGTATGGATAAACAAATTTCCTGGCTACATATGTAAAGCCAGATGCATAAATCAAATGAATTAAAAAAAGAAAATTATAATGTTTATTGATTAATTTATTTTTTTAAAAACTTTTAAATTATAAAGAGCTTATTCCACTTGTTGATTTCCTTTCTTACAGAAAGGGTTTGTTTTTTTATGTATATTGTTTATGTAAGTTTGAAATTCTGTGATATATAATTGTGCTTAAATGTTATATTTTATTTAAGTGATACCACAATTGCAAATAATTTAAAAAAAAAATTGAATCTAATTAAAATTAATAAACGCTTCGGTTAATGATTATGGAAATTTAACCTAATGGTTGTGGGTTAGTTTTAGATTTTGTTGGTTTTCTTTTGTGTTTAGTTTTTTATTTTGTAGATTGTTAATTTTAAAATATTTTTCAGTATTTTGTATTGGATAATTATCAGTTTTAATTTTAAGAAGCTGTTTTTCATAGAAATAATTCATAAATTTGAAATTTATTTCAATATCCCATGACATTTTTAAATTATGGATTTTATTTTGTAAATTATAATCTTATTAGTATTTATTTTCATTTTATTATGTAATTGTAAAATTTGTTGATTAAATTTTTTCTTGAGTAACATTGATATTTCTTTATTAAACTCCTTGAAATAATTTTATTTTATAATAATAATAATAATAATAAGGCTTAGCGAACCCGAAGGTTCGATGCCGACACCAATCGCTTGTTACACACCTCCCTCCACCGTTCGCCGTCCAAACCCAGTCCCTTCAGATCGGCTTTAATGCAATCTTCCCACCTTCGCTTCGGTCTACCCCTCGGACGCTTACCATTCGGCACAGCAAATATTAACCTTTTAGGAATTCTCTCGTTACTAAGCCCAACAACTTTACAAGCCCATTTGATTCGCCGCGATGAAATTACATCAATTATATTACCCGGATACAGCTCACGCAATTCGGCGTTGTGTAACCGTCTGAACTCTCCGGTTAACTCATCCTTCTTCGGTCCGAATATTCTACGCAATACTTTATTTTCAAAAACCTTAAGACGCTGCTCATCCCTTAATGTAAGCGGCCAAGTTTCGCATCCATAAAGAACTGTAGGCAAGATAATTGTTTTATAGATTCTAATTTTTAAGTTCTGGGACAAGAGGCGCGAACTAAGTAGTTTTGTCACAGAAAAATGATATTGATAATAATAATGAAAAATGATAGTGATAGGCCGTTTCATCCTCCAGGCCACATAGCATGCACGTACACGTACACCCAAATTGTAAAGATGCTTATTTAATCGACAGTGGCTGATGTACAGTCCTGTCACCCGCCTAATGGTATTCCTGTCCATTAAAAGTGAAACACTTCTCTTATGTTAGCGCCCTACTAGGAACAACTGAAGTTACTGTTTACCTATTTCAGAACCAATTTTCTTGGGTACAAAACAACAGGTCTGGTCTGATAAGTTTGGTACAAAATGTAAATTATTGTAAGTAAAATAAGAAAACTCTCATTTACCCCTAGAATATAGGATAAAAATAAACATATATTTAAATTTTATTCAGCAAAATTTAAATATGAGTTTATTTATCTACAGATTATTTGATTTTAAAACATATTTATCAAAGTTGTTACTAATCATCAATTTATTGAAAGTTTGATTTTTTGTTAAAATTTAATAAAGTAGTTATCAAACAATTATTTTGGTACTTTCTAAATTTTTAAAAATATCTATTTTTATTTAATCTTATACTGTATATTATTTATTAACATATCATTGAATAAAGTTTCTTCTAAATCTTTTTTAATTGTCTTAAATCACAACATCCTATTGTTCTTGTATACAACGGAGATCTAGTCTTGAATTTAAGCGAGTGATTCAGTTTAATTTTTTATATCAATTTGATTACCAAATCAAATCACATTAATTTTTTTAATATAAGTAGTAATTTCTTCTTTGTCTTCCTCAGTGCGTTTCAGCGTGGAGGAGCATCAACCCATTTACGCCAGTTATCATGGTCTCTCGTCAGGTCCCTCGTATTATCCAACTGCTTGCCTCTTCTCTGTCCGAGCTTGGTTATTTCGTCAATCTATGTTTTCCGTGGACGTCCTCTTGGCCTCTTTTCTGTGGGTCTTACTTCAAGAAATGTTCTGGGTTCGCTGTCCTAGTCCATCCTCATAACGTGGCCGAACCATTTGAGCATTTTCTTTTCCACAGTTTCCAGCATTGGTGGCACCTTAACATTTTCTCTAATCCATTCATTTCGGATGCAATCTCTTCTAGTTTGGCCAGCTACTCTTCTCAGATATTTTCATTTCGGCAGTGTTTTCCTAAGACCGTGTTGCAGATCTGGTAATAGATATCATTTGCTTTTTTGATCCTGTTTGGTATTTCTTGGTCTATTTTTCCATTTCTACCAACAACTATCTCTATGTTTGTATATTCCTCTATCAACTCCAAATTCTTACCCCTACAATTTATTTGTATGTCTTCGATTTCTCGACCTATCTGCATAATCTTACTTTTTTCTTCATTCGTGATCATACCTTTTCTCTCAAGCTCAGCTTCCCATTCCACAATCGCTTGCTATAATTTTCCGGCTGAGTTTGTTATGAGGACAATATCATCTGCGTAAACGAGAGCTTTGGCAGATCTTCAGAATCTCATCCATAAACACAATATATAGTAGGGGACTGGGACTGAGTAATATCTGAGCTAAAATATTTGACTAAATCTGTCTATTATGTTATGATGAAATTAAAGAGCTAAGCCGATACTTTCAATGTAATCTTCTGACTACTCGTTCTTATTTAGCTTACGAAACAAGTGATTTATTTGTAAATCTATGCTAATGTCTATCTAGACACATGAAACAGAAACTGAGAGTGCGGTAACCAAAATAAAAGATTTATTTCAAATGACATCAAACATAACAACATGAACATACTAAAATAAAATGATACTTGAGAAATACATCACATTTCAATCTTTAACTAATGATCTCCTCAATGTATCCTTGCAATATTTTTTCTCCTTTCTTTCTTCTTATGAAGTTACAAATATTTTGAATAGTCCTCTCTATTTTCTGATTAACAACTCAAAAGAGTTAACAAATTGGAAAAAAAGGTTGGTATAATCCACAGTTAGGGATAGGCTTAAATAGCTTAGATTGATTTATGAAATTTTTTTTTTATTTACTTATTACAAAAAGTTCGTTTTTAAAAATATATATTTGTGTAAACATGTGTACAGTATAAAACGTTAAAACCTAATGCTGAATCCTCTAAAGTCTTGTCTTGCCAAGTATTCAAAATCCCGTAGTTCACACCTTTCTATTTTACAGCCAGGACTTCCAGTTCTGGAAAGCCATGCAACCCTGGAATCATGAAAATAATGGTTAAAATTTTAATTATTTATTTTTTTAACCTTTGAAGATAATATTTTTAAAAATAAAAATAATTATAATTAAAATTAATGGTTAACTCCTGTCCTAATGGTGGATCAATCCCCATTTTACAAATTATATTACTGTTCATTTAATTGTACTACTGCTTTTTCAAATTTAAATATAACTGTAATTTATATTTATTGTGTAGTTCAAATTGTATTATTTTTAATCAACATAAATTAAATGGAACAAAACGACAGTAAGGACAATTTTTTAGTTTCTTTAAACATCTATATTATACATCGTGTCTTATTGCCAATTTATATTATTATATAATTAAAATTATTCCTATTGCTAATATGTAACCATAATAAGGAAGAAATAATTCTGGGGATAAGAAGTGTAGTGTCTTTGCCATCGGTCTATCCTGCTTTGTATGCAAAAATAAAATATGACGGTCACCAAAAACGTAATTAATAATTATAAAAATATAATTAATTAATAATTATTTTAATTATTCATTATTGAAATTATAAATTAAAACCAAATAATTCTTATTTTATTTAAAATAAAAAAAAACCCTCAATCCGTGAAGAGTTTTGGGTTCAGTACTTTGTTATAAAGTACTGTTTCAAGGTCATCAGTTGTGCAGGGAGGTAATCTTGCCAGGATCATGCTCAACCGCTAGGTTTCCCACAGTAATTATTTAATTAAGAGTACCCACTTTATAGAGGCTAAGTGTGCCCAAAGAGGATCTCCTGATAATAGGGTCGATCCACAGCTGATGAAAAATTACTTGACATTAGTTAGTTTCAAACCCAGGACCTTAAGCATAGCCACACAATGCCTAACTCACTGAGCTATTCCATTCCCTTATTTTGATTTATACTGATAAATCATGAAATAAATAAATTATTAAAATATATTGTTTAATATTATTAGCATTAATAGAAATAAAACATACTTGATTTCCATATTTTTCAATATATTCTGTGCATATTTACAACTAATCCCATCCATTTTTTTTCCTTTTTAGTTTTTTCTTGAAAACTATCCATCTCTCAAAGCATTCCAGATGCTTATTTGGAAGTTAATTAAATTGTTTATAAAGTTAAAGTTAATTATAAACAAGTTAGAACTAAAACAGCCACAAACTTAAACTTAATCTTAATTAGACTAATATTAATGAATATACAACTTATTGCACTTTGCTAATTCCCTAAGAGGTAAAGAAAGTCGTTTGTGTAGACCACCAGGCATTATTTAACTATGTTTATACTTAATTATCTTATTAATAGTTGTGCAACCGTCTGTTGATTTTATTTATTTTCTTAAAAAGGAATCTTGTGTCAAGACCTGTTGATTTGCTAACTTTTTCAAGGATGTGGCACCTCTCCATTAAAACCATCTATGATTAGCTTTGGGAGTTGGATGGGTAAATTGTTTACTGTTTGTATAAATAAAATTAAAAGCTGTCTACAAAAGTCTATTTTTCATTTTATTTCCTTATGAGAGCATTTTGTTTATGTTTTTTTCTTATCACAAATGTAAGATAAAGGAGAGTTTTTTATTGTTATTCCTTAGTCTGTTGTTTTCAGTAACTGAGCTGAATAAAATGAAAATACAGTTATATTGGCTAGTTATAGCATATTGAGTTATTTATATTTAGAATTATAAACTAAAATAAATATATGAGAAAAAAAGTACTTTTTTTTATACAATTCCCCCTATGAAAGAAAATTTATCATTTTTCTCAAAAGTATTACCGAAAAGATATTTTAAAAATATGCAGTTTTTTTCATTCCCTTCTTGTATCATGTTTATGTCAAAATTAGCTAATCCAAGCAAATCTGTAAAATACATTTAAAGTTTTGAAATTCATAATTAAAATGTTAACTTACTCCTCTGAATATTTTATTTAATTAGATTCCATTTATATATTTTTTATCTTCATAATTAAAACCTGTACCACTACAACCCATGAAGGGTCTTAGGTTCAGTACTATTTATAGTAAGTACTGTTTCTTAATCTATGGTTGTACAAGTAGGTGATTTGACTAAAATTACGCTTAACAACCAGGTTTTCCCCCTTAATTAATTATTTAATTAAGGGTACCCAATTTTTATAGACTGGGTTGGGTATCTCATAATAGAAATTGTTATGGGATCATCTATTTACCAACTTTTACAATCCCTGAAAATTTCATCAAATTGCCATTACTGGTAGTGAGGAATATGTCTATTACTTGGATTTGACAACAGATGGTGTGCACAGCACCACGGGCGGATCAACGGGGGGAGGGAGGGAGGAAGGTGGCTTTCGGGCTGAAGCCCCCCTAAAAATGGGAAAATATAACCATGTTTTATAAAAAAAATTATCTCTCAAAGTATTATTGTTCGTGTAATTACGTTTAAAAGGGCTTTAGGAATCACTTAAATACCATTTCATATAGGTAGTTAGTTTCTTTCTTTTTTTCCAAAGTAATTATCGCTATTTTTATGAAAAAATAAGTTTTCGGGCTTTCCGAAATAAGTTTCCCCCCCGCAAAATTAAATCCTGGATCCGCTAGTGCTCAGCACCGCACTCTACCTGGAAATCTGATAACGGATGTTATGAATGATAAAATAGTTCGCGTTCCGGTGCCGAAAGGGGGACCTCTTAAATCTGGCATTAATTCCCTGCCCTCACCTCCTGGCCAAGAAAAACCACATATAAGCTAAAAGGCGAGGAAGGAAGAACAAAATGGATTTTACCACAGAAATATTTTCAACCTTCAGTAACAAATAAGCAAAAGTAAGTTGTGTGCAGGACCTGGATCAGAAATAGTTCGGAAACCGGTCTCAATGAGTACATTTTGGATCATTTCGGACTATCCAGGATCAGTCGTAAGTCGTGGAAATGGGATATCCCCAAAGTTAAGTAAGGGGGTTATATTTTGCTTTCAACAAACACCTGAGAAATTCGGTTTTCTCTTTGAATAAAAGGTTCATCGTCGATGTATTTTGACCAATTGAGGTCGGTGAGAACCAGAAAAGGATGAAGAACTGAGAATTCTATTCATCCTGAAATTCTGAGAGTTGCTGTGAAGCAATAGATAGGTGACTGAACAAGAATTACCTAGCGAAGGCTTATAGAGTTATTGGAAGAATAGAAAAGAACGGATTCGAACCCGGGACATTGAGCTTTGGAAGTCAGTGCTTACCGTCTGAGCTATCACGCTCCCTACTTCTTCTTTTTTTTTTTTTTTTTTTTTTTTTTCAGAAATATTACAATTTGTCACAGTTTAAGGACACTTATAATAGAGTTCAGAGATTGCATTCATACCGTATATACAAAAATATAAATAAATAAAGTAATAACAAAAGAATAAGAAAAAAGAACAAAAGAGTAAAGAAAAAAAATATATATGTATATATACACATAAGTAAATAAAAATAGAAATAAAAGTAAAACAAACACCTTATATAAAAAATACCTATATACATTATTTACAATTAGCCAGGTGATCTCCGAACCAATCCTGTCCCCTCCACATGTGGAGGGAAAAGGGAGGCTTAGGAGATCCCTACGCTTCTCCCTCAGCCACTTCACTGGTATTTTAAACCAGCGGAGGATGAGTAAGAGCGCTACAGCCACAGACACTCATGACTTGAGTGGAGAATCTGGCCATTGCTAGAACTCCAAAATATCCATATTTACAAAAGGTCTCGTGGCCACTGCCGCTTTAACCTACGAAGGGGATTGTAGGGATGGGTGGTGCTTGATAGGGATTGTACAACGGGATTTGGGTGATGAGAAAGGTTCTGGTGAAATTTGGAAAATTTGGCTGGAATGAGATCAAGAATAAATGGGATATTAAGGTCATGGTGTAGGGTTTTATTGGTTACATAGAGCTCCCTACTTCTAACATAATAGTTTGATATTTGTTTGTTAGAAAAATGAAATCTCCTTGAGAGCTGTTGTGCTTATTAAAGATTCAGTTGCACTGAACGCGTTCGTCTGCGATCTTTTTCTATATTTCGCTTTATTTATTTTTTAGTTTTCATCTCATTAAATTATTTAGAATTATAGTGAATTATCTTTAACCTATGATACCTACATCTCTTCCACTTTAGGTTTGGTTCCTTGTATCTTCCCCACAATAGTTCCTCGTCTGCTATTCTTAACCCAACCGCCAAGTTCAAGGTAGAGAGCCATATCTCTGCAGTATTTTGTGAAGTATACTCCTGTAAACAGAAAAAATATATATTTAGTAGATATCCTCTATTAGCCCGTGGTAAATACCCCTTTTTATCAAATTATTATCTGAAACTTCTTAAATAGCTTCATCTCATCCTAATCTACAAATATTATATTTACGAAAATTATCGGAATTGGAGCGTTTTCAATCTGGAGATCGGCAAACTTTGTCTATTTAATTAATAGTAATAATAATAATAATACTTTATTTATTCTGGGACGAGTCCCTTTAGAATAATACAGGAAGACAGAAATGAGGGCTAAGGAGCCTAAGAGATATATAAATAAACATACAGAGTAAGTGAACAGTCTTGGTTCAATAATATATATATAAAAAATAATATATATATATATATATATATATATATATATATATATATACACATATACATATAAGTTGCTTTCCAATTTTGATCAGTTGATAATAAAAGAGAAAAAAAAATAGATAAACAAAAATTGGAGAACAAATAATGAAGAACGAACTAATAACTTATGTACATATTTTCAGTAGTATCTATTTACGATTTTATGGGGACTGGATGGATAAGAAATGATTGAACAGGCGGGATTTAAAGGTAGGAAGGGTATTAGATTGACGGATATGGGAAGGGATGGAGTTCCATAGAGATGAGGATCGGATAATGAACGATTTGTCGAAAGCAGCGGTTCGGTGGGCCCTTATGTATAAATCAGAAGACCGGGAACGAGTATTGCGGGAACGAACAGAGGATTTGAATTGAAGGAGCTCGGAGATGTATGAGGGACGGTGGGATTGGATGACTTGAAAGAGGAAGGATGCCAGGAAATACTTACGACGGTAGGAAGGATAAAGCCAATTTAACTCCGCGTAAAGGTATGTAATTAGGTACTAAAAACCCGTAAACACTCATTTGCTTTCCACTTAATCGTAAGATAATTTGACTATAAAATCGAGAAAAAAAGGTGGCCTCATTTCAAAATAACGAGGTTATATACGCCAAACGACCCAATATTTATCTAGGCCAACTTTTGTTCCCGATTTTGTGATCATATCCCACGATTCAAGTGGAAAGCAAGTGGGTATTCATGAGTTTTTAGTTCCTAATTAAATACACAAAGTTTTCCGATCTCCAGACTGAAAACGCCCCAATTCCAAGAGTTTTCGTAAATAAAATAGTTGTAGGTTATGTTGAGATAATGCTTTCCACGAAGTTTCAGGCAGATGTTAATAATTTGATAAAAAGAGGACTGTACCACATAAACTGTAAATAGCTTCATCTCATCGTAATCTATAAATATTATATTTATGAAAATTCTCTGAATTAGGGCGTTTTCAACTTAGAGGTCGGCAAACTTTGTCTATTTAATTAGGTACTAAAAACTCGTAAACACTCATTTGCTTTCCACTTAATCGTAAGATAATTTGAGCTCAAATCGAGAAAAAACGTGGCCTTCAAAAATATTGAGGCGTTAGGCGTGACCTACACCCCCAAAACGTCAAACGTAGTTATATAGGCTAAACGGCCCAATATTTTTGTAGGCCACTTTTTTTCTCGATTTTGTGATCAAATTATCTTACGATCCAAGGGAAAAGCAAATGGATGTTAACGAGGTTTTAGTATCTAATTAAATAAACAAGTTTGCCGATCTCCAGACAGAAAATGCCCCAACTCCAAGAGTTTTCATAAGTAAAATAGCTGTAGATTACGTTGAGATGAAGAAACGTAAAAAATTTACGAAGTTCCAGTTGCAGAGAGAGAATGACAGTGGTCAATATCTTCGAGAGTTGTGTCTTTAAATTAGAGAATTAAACATAAGAGGAATACAAGCGAATACACTGGCTGCTTTGGGCAAAGACGAAAAAATCATATGTTTTCTCTCCAAAGAAGGAATCTTAAAAAATATTTGAACCTCTCACGCAGCACTCCCCACCTCTTTTTTTCCTTTTACCATTTTTTTTTCTCTTATCAATTTTGTTTCCTTTTTCTTTATTACATATCCTGCGAACTTCAAATAATTAAACTTTAATAACAATAAACACCTTTAAACATTAATGTGCATTTTACATTTTTTTTAAATTTAATCCAATTCTTAATATTCATAACCAAAAGATATATTTTTAATTTGTGGCGTTGATGAGCAACAGGTTTTACGCCTTTACTATACAACCAAACAACCAAAGAAGTTTCAAGTGGATGTTAATAATTTGATAAAAAGGGCTCTGTACAACGGAGTAATAGCATATTGTAATAAATGGTGGGCGTGACTTCAATAGCTTTGGGATATAACATGCCTGAAGCGTTTTGGTTTTTATCGATCTCAAATTTTGGCAGATAATTTAACATTGACTGATCACAATCTGCATAAGTAAATAGCTAAAACAGGTTATCTAATTGATTCAAAGACATTTTTAAAAGAGAATATTTAATTGTGCTCAATATTGATTCTGTCCACTTATCTATTCTTCGTATTGCGAAACATCATATGGCTCAAACTCAAATGGCGTGCTTTCGGATGATGCGCTTTTAGATTCAGCTGCTTCAGTGTGTGAACTTTCTCTTTCTTCTGATTGGCCCTCTTCAGATTGGGTAGCTTCATGCGCTTCATATGGCGTACTTTGAAATAGGGCATGTTCAGATGGCACAGACCTAGACCAATGACGGGAACTCATAGTTCTTTGGCTGAAACCTTTTCTATGTTTCTTTTGCTGTTCCATAAAATGCGCCGCAGATGCAGCACGATGATGGTGACGATAATGATTGTACCTCCTTTTCCTTTCACAACTTCGACAGACTCCATGGGATCCATATCTTCTGGTCGGGGAATGAGCTTTCTTCTGATTATACATCTTTGGTATCTTAGGTCTCCACTTGACACCTCTGATGCAAGGCTTTGGACGTACCATGTCGCAACAAACTTTATTTCCAATGACTAAACGCGTGTTATAATTCTGCACTATACTGTTATTAGATCTCAGTACTTTTTTAATTTTTTGTCTTGCGACCGTAGGTTCCAAACCCAACTTTCCATTTATGTATGCTACCATTTCTTTTTGGGTTATACCACCTTGCGGATTAATCCTTGTAATGGCTTCCTTCATGATTTGTAATAAATTAGGTCGGTTTTGCTTCTTACGTGTAGTTTCGATTATGGTTACCGAATCCGTTGCGTCTTGATGTTCTTTAACAACTTCCTCTGTTTCCATTTTTCGTGCTGACATTTTCGCACTCAGCAATGTTGTATAATTTTTTAATTTCCGAATTAAACCAAAACTATTTTTAAAATTTGTTACACCATTTGCCAAACATCATATAATTAGAAAAAAAAGAAACATGACATGGAAATATCGCAGGGTTACCGCCAGTGTTTTCAATTCTATAAAGTAGTCTCTTGTTCACAGAATCTCGGTAGGGTACCGATTTATTCAGTTCGTGTTTAACGAAATTTTGTTCAAAATGAACAAGTCCTTTTTATAAAATTGAATAAAAATTTCTTTATTATTTGTTCTTATTCATTTATTTTTTTTAAACAATTGATGGATGAATTTTGCCTTGAAAACACACATAATGTAATAAAATTCACGATTCATTTATGAGTAAAAATGCTCATAGAAAAATAATTCACACTAACTAATCCATCAAAAATATCAAAATATTTTGGCAAGATGTTCGAATACTCAGGACACTTGAATCCTCCCCTCCCCCCGGAAAAAAAGTAGTTCCGTGCAGCAAATAGTAAAGAAATACTTGGGCTGATCAAAATTGATTTGGGGACAGTTACTTCTGGCTAGGAACTTGACACAGTTGGTGGCCATTCTTTGTCTAAATTTAGACAGTACGAACTGCTTTTGTGATCCTGCCTTGATTCAGTCCAGCGTCGCCACACTGGATAGCATTACTTCTTGGCAAGGTAATTGGGATATTTAAAGGCTATCATTTCAGTTAAATTTTTTGTTTCAAAAGCTATAATGGTAAATAATCAATTATCAGCTGATTCAATATCAAATCAGCTGTTAATTGGCAAAGTCGAAAATTTTAACTTTTTAAAGTAGGTTATGTCTAACTTTTTAAACTTTCATTATTTATAAAGATGATTCTCATTTTAGGGGCAAGTTTTAGTCCTTTACAACTTTTATATGATCAGTTAACTCTAAATTGATTTTTCCTCCACTGTTATACGGTGAAGATGGATGTCTTTTTTTTTTTCAATAATAATATTTTATTGAGAAAAAAAAACTACATTTTGCCTCAATTAAGGGCATTGAATATTTAGGATGTATGAAACACAAACATACCATATATGAAATAAAAGAAAAACAAGCTTATAACAAAAGAAAAGAAAACTTGGAATAACAGAATATGAGACAACATTAAATATAAAATAAAAACACATCCATACTTATTTACAATATTTACAGTCAGCCGAGTCGGGCCCTTTCCCCCACGTGTGAAGGGTAAGGCAAGACTCCGAGAGATCCCAGCCGCATCATTAGCATGGGAATCCAGTGGAGACTAAGAGAGGGCACTGTAGCCACATACGCTCATGACTTAAGTGGAGAAGCTGGCCATTGCCAGGACTCCAGTGACGTATTTACAAAAGATCTCGAGGCCATTGCCGCTTCAACCTGTGAGGAGGATTGTAGGGATGACTGGAACTGGATAAGGATTGCGCTAAGGGATTAGGATGATGGATTAGGTTCTGACAAAAATTTTCAAATCGGGATGGAATTACATCAAGAACATAAGGGATGTTAAGGTCATGATGTAAGGTTTTGTTCGTAACATAATAAGGAGCATTTACTATTATACGGAGGGCTTTACACTGGAAGGATTGGATGCGTATGATGTTCGAAAATTTACTTGTCTCCCACAGTTCAAGTCTGTAGGTCCAGATGGGTTTCATTATGGTCCTGTATATTAATAGTTTGTTTTCAATTGAGAGGTTAGATTTTCTGTTAAGTAGTCTGTATAACTGGCCAAATCAGCGATTAAGTTCTTGTCTTTTAAGTCCGGTATGTGGATTCTATGTTAGTCTTTTGTCTTAAAGGAATCCAAGATACCGAACTGTGTCTGAGATGGGAAGAGGTACTTAGTTGTAAAAGATATGTGGACAGGATCTGCGTCGGAGGGTAAAGGTGACATGCTTGCATTTGGATTCATTGATCTTGATACGCCAATTGTTGCACCATTGCTCTAAACGAAATATAAAAAAATACTTCATTATCATGTATTGTCCCACTCTCAGTTTTGTTTCTTTCTTTCGTAATCTATGTAAAATGACAGTGAAATTTATTTCCACTCTTAAAGAATGATTAAGAGATTTAACAGTGAAGTATGCTTATGTATTCCCATCACTTTGATGTCACTACCAAGCAAAAAACATCAGATATTTAAGTTGAAAAGAGGAAACAATGGGGAAATTTCTTCAGAGTGTAATAGTAGCCATGGAGTTAAAGGACAGCCACCAGCGGATAGACAGACCAGTTGGGGAGCCTCCCTCTAGGCATCCGTTTCTTATACGTTGAGCACGTAGCTTTATTGTTGTCATTACCACCGCTTATATTATCTCGCTACCTGTTCAAATTATTTAATTTATTATAATAAAAGTTTTCCTACGGTTTGAAGCATGTTATTTGGGGGAAAAAAAAATTATAATACTAGTACAGCGGGTTTGGTCGAATAGAATATGTGAAAATGTCATTACCAAGTTGTAAACTCGTTTCATTCCCACAACCGAATTATTAGCTTTACTTACTTTAATTACTGAGCAAAATGCATTTTTGATCTTGGCCATTTGCTCAGATAAAGCTGAGCGACAATAGAAGGTGTAGGTATTTAGAAAATTGTATTTAAATTCCGTCAAAATGATTAAAATTTGATCTTGCAAATAACCCATAATATGAGAATCACCCATAAGCATCTTGAGATCTGTTCCTGGAATAATCGTTAAAGACAAAACAACGAAACAAATTTCTTAATTTTTGTTTCAATGCATTTTTGTAATATTGTTGTTTTGATAAGTGGAATGACTAGAAAATAGTATCACTTGAGATGGTAATTTGTATTTAATAATTATTTAATCAACCAATACCTGTTATATGTCGGTACAAAAATCTGTCCGAACTAACATGGTTAATAAATGAATACTTAATCTAGGGCGAAAGCAAGGTTAGTTACGAATTTGTTGATTTATTCAAATAACCCTTCAAATTATCCGTCGTCTTATTCAATATCATATAGTTTTTACCGAACATTTCTCATTATAGACTTATCTGGTTCTTGTACCAAGACCTTCACTTATCCTTGACAGAAGAAAATGTAAATTATTTTCTCAAAATAGATGTTGAAATTTAAATTGGATATGTACAATTTACATCCATGGCTGAATGCCAACAGTTCAGTCGTAAAAGCTTCTGTAACGAGCTAATAATCATTATACGGCTAAGTTAATCCAGAATTTCAGATCATGTTCTAGTCATTCACAGTTAATAACAATATAGTTAGGGCTATTCCAAACCGATATTGTATAAAGTTTAGCAAAGGAGATCATTTCAACAACTTACAAATTCTATTTATGTCAAAAATTTAAAAACATTGGCGTTACTTTTACAAAATTCCACCAGAGAGGATTTTTTTTTTTTAAACAGAGGCTGAAGGAAAGAAAAAAAAATTCACAATTTGTTATTAATGAAAGCAATTGGATACTTCAATACGTTTGCAATGGCATATCAACTTGCTCCTGTTGATCATAATATATTTATTAGCTTAGATTAATGTTTCCAGCTTTAAAACTTCGACCCAAAAAATATCTTTCCGTTTTTCCTCACACTCCGTCGTCTATGAATAAAAACATTTAGTTTAATATTTGTTTTATTAGCTTTTATAAATAGATGTTTATAGAGTTAAGAAACACTTTTCATAACATCGTGATTGGCCGCCATATACGTCACGACACTTAGGCCACATCCCTAGTCCCTCCAACACCTCCGGGAAACTCTGTTATTTCAAGTTTAAAGTAAATTTGGACGTTTTTTATTATTTAAAATGTGCTGTTTCGATTGCTGCACTGGCAATTTTAGCTACTGAGTGAAAAAATGTCAGTCTGAAATTCAACGAAGGAAGTAGGAGAAAATTTGCTTCCAAATCAGTAGGGAATTTGGGGGCTAATGCGCAAATGGTCTAGTATAAATTCCTATTTAAAAAGTGAAATTAATGTGATTGTTATGATTATAGTGACTGTAAAATGTTATAGGAAGTAAACATATGGCGATTAGAGGTTATATAAGTTTTTAAACTTATTTGGATTTATTATATATGTTTTTATTGGTTTATTTTATGAAGTTTTTAAAGAAAATTAACAATTTAGTTCGTACTTAATTATTTTCTTTTATCTCTGAAAAATTGAAGCTGTTAATTTGGATGTCGCGTGAAGTAATGAATTAATTAGAGGAGTTATCTGTAGAAACGAACTAACAACCAAAATTATCTGCTTTTATATTTGCCTTCAAACAATAATTGTAAAACGATTTAAAATTTCATCATTTTTCTGGTATCGTGACGACATCGAACGCTGTGGAATATCTAACAGTTACAGAATGGACCTAATCCGTAACAAATAATAATAATATTAATTTAATTTTTATTTTAATAATTGAATTTGTTAACTACGCCAGTTGGTGAATCATATATTGTATTGACAATTCTCATAACTCAAAGATAAAAGGACAAAACTATAACTAGATAGCCAGGTCAAGATCTCTAATGGCTTAGAAGTAGTTGTCTAAAAGGCACTGACTGGACACAACAAGACCCGTTGTCAAGACTTAGAAACAATAACAGATTACAGCAAAAGGCTCTTTCTCAGGATCCTTATACTTCACAGAATTCCTTCACCCCCCCTCCCTACTATTCCTGGGTATATTACCCCCATGATCCTCTAGACTAATCACTCATGCAGTTACATTTTTGAAGTCACACTCTTACCAGAAGACCTGGAGTGAACTCTTGTAATCAACCCATATATCCATAGCATTTCTGTATGTTAGATGCCATTTGTAACAGACATAATGAATAAACATATATGCGATATAACATATCTGCTGATTGCCAATAATAATTGACAGGTGCGGATAAATATATGTAAGTGCAAAACAAAAACAAAAAAATATATGCGAGAATATATTTATAGTCCGCGATACAGATTCCTGTTTATTAAATTATTGACACTTCTCTAATACTTCGTACATGAGCTTCATTTCATCGTAACTAATAGTTTTGTATTTACTAGAATTCTCAGACATGGATTTGTTTTCATTCTGGATATCGGTAAACTGTGTCAATTTAACGAGATACTAAAAACTCATGAATATTTGCTTTTCACTCGAATCGTAAGATAATTTGATCACGAAATCGAGAATAAAGGTGGCCTAAAAAATATTGGGCCGTTTGTCATGACCTCCACCCCCAACATGTCAAATCGACTAGGTTATATTGGCCAAACTGCCATTTTTTTAGTTTATAAATTCAGTAAAGTAAATTATATTTTAAGAAAATAACATTCATAACACATGTAAAATTCAAGACGCTTATCCTCAATTATCATTAATTTAAGAATGATGTGTAAATTAAGCTTTATTCTCAATATGTGGAGAATATTGAAAAGCTAAACAAGACAACGGCAGAAAAGCAAAAAAAAAAAAAGAGAAAATTAAAAAAATCTTAATGATAGTTTGTAATGAAATGAAATATTCTTATGGATTAACACAGCATTTACATGATATATCTTTCCTCTGGTATCATTTAAATATGTAGTATGTTTAAACAAAGTAATACTCAAGAAGAACTTATGTGCATTGATTTAGGGGAATGAACTATTAATGGTCCACTTTAATGGTTGGGCCAAGATCTCATGATCACACTATATGGTGGAATGGTTCTCGAGAATAATGGAGTA